TGAGTAGAAATGGATGTTCCGCTGCCTTTAATTAATTTCCATCACTCTTATAACTGACCAGAGGGCACTCATTAAGTCTAGTGACTGGCTAAAGAACAACACAGAAGACTGACAGATGTATGACTGTAAATGTTAAATGACTGGGATTACCGAGGATTGTCGGAGCAATACTTTCTTGAATGCGGCAGAGTAAACATGCCTTAAACGTGCTTGAATCCCTCGATCCAACTTTCAACATCTGTCATGGTGTGAATTTTATTTTTCTACTTGGTTTTATTTTGACTTCAGTTCTGTGGTTTTATTTATAAGTTTGTATTCCTGTTCCCCTGAGTTGATTGTCTGCCCCGCCCTGTGTCTTTATGTACCTGTGCTCCTCTCCCCTTTGTTGCTGGTCCATTGCCAATGTCTGTCTTTGTCCGTCTGTTTTCCTGGTTCCTGAGTTTTGTTTGGATTTTGAGTTTGTTTTCTGTTTAAATCATTGTTTTTTGCGTTCCTGTTTTTTGCGTTCCTGTTTTTTGCGTTCCTGCTTTTTATGTCCGTCCTTCACTTCACCACACGACACCAGCCGGGTTAAAAGTCTATTTATCATAATATAATATGTAATTAATTGATTTGGTTGGGGTAGTGTTTAGCAGTCTATGGTAGCAGTGCTGTAAATACAACAGATTGTCGCCTTGGGCTAATTTCCTTTTATAGTCCCACTCACAAACACACACACACTCCACCCTGAAACCCCAGTGGTAACTTGCACAACGCAACACCTGTACACAGAAAGGCCCTGTCTGGAGGTGGAATCAAACCCAGGATGGCTCTAGTGATGCAGAAAAGATGGCTCTAGTGATGCAGAACTGGGAAGGATACTTGGAACACTATACTAAACTGGTCGATTCCCCATTCAAACGTTTGTGTTTTTGATCATATTTAAATTTCCCAAAGGAATTTCTGCAGTAACCAACTCGGTTATCTCCATTTCGTGTGTTTGTCAGGAGCTTTCACAAAACCCTTTGGTCTGAAACAGCAGTGTGTACGTAGGAAATGTGTCTTAAATACAAAGTCATATCCTGAATCACACAATGAACGCATTCACTTACATTTTCATTTTCTTTGACTTAACCCGTTACACCAATTGCACTGTTTTTGAAGTATAGTATTTCTATAATGCGTGGAGCTGCTTCTTTTGTGTAATTTATCGGATGAGTTAAAGATTTACTCTAACCGGATTACATTCAAAAGAGTGTTTGAAAAAGTTGTATTGAAGAAAAATGATACCTTAAGCAGAGAGCAAATAGTGGGAGAGAGGTGTAGGGTCGGAGAGTTTTCAGGCCTGTGTCTTGAAAGAGTGTTTTGTGTTGTCTGTCTTATACCATCGGTGGTAGCATTGGAGAATTCTACTGCATTATTTTGTTAAAACAGTGTGAATGTGTGAATCCAATAAGCATTTGCTTAATCCAACCGCTTTTCAAACCAGGAACATATTGATGTATGTTATGTTATTTTGATGTAAGTAATAATAATGTATTGTGCAGGTTTGAAATAAATACAAAATACATATAATAATACATTTAGTGATCATGCTCCTGACCCAGTGGAATTGAAGGATGGGTCAAATGTAAAGGTGTACTTTTATCTGCTGTTCACAATTGTTTATCCAGCTATTTTTTATTGCCTATGTCTGTGTTTGCAAACCTTAATTTTCAACTTTGTAAAAAATAACTCCCTCAGGTATATAACAACTGTTTACATTATTGTTTCACCATATTTATTCTACTGAAGATATTATTTCACATTCTAAAACCTGAAATAACAAAGTAAAAACGTAATGGCCAAAGAAAAGTGCATGATATGTCAATTAATATATCAAATTACTTACTGGCTGTCTTCTTTTTCCTGATTTTATGGGATTTACTTTTAGATGAGCAGAAAGAAGAAAGCCTGTTGAGAGTTTTTAGAGATTGCAAATGCATTTTTTTCTCCTGTGATACCAATTATTTCAATGCTATACCATTAATGCCATAGCAGATTGTATCTAGAAAATGTGACATATTTGCATAGGAACCCGATGTCTCTGTGTACATAGATCAATGATCTTTGGATGTCCTATTTTTCTCAGCCAATACATGTTTTGTTGCCTTTGCCAGGAAACGCAATTTGTCCTCTTAAAAAACGGCAACGAGAAACCATGTCAATACTGTTTGCACAACATTGAATTGCAGAATAACGATGAGAATACAGCGTTCTGGCCTCTCTCATGCTCTCTCTGTAATACATGTCTGTCCTCTTGTTGTGGAAATGCCAGTGGTTCGGTGAGTGTTTTTATTAAAATGTGCATAATATTGTTCCCTGCAAATGTATTCCATTGTTATGTGCCACCTGCTGAGCCAGTCGTGCATAATGGCCCTGTCCAGATGGCTTTGGGAGGGCAGCACACAAACAAGAGAAAATACATGCATACTACTATTTTTATTTGGACTTTTTGGCATAAAATGTGCTATCATTTTAGGTTCTTTTTTTATTGTTTTGTCTTTTTTAGGGATGCACCGGTATCTGGTATCTGCATGTGCCAATCCATGAAGATATTGATTAGGCCTATCAATAGCAAGAAAGTCATTTATTTTCCACTCAGATTCAGATTCATTTTATTTGCCATTTGCAGTAAAACCACATTGGAATACATTTGCGAAAGTCCCCAGTGTGCACAAGACAAGTATATATGAATAAAACCAAGTTAAAAGCACAGAAATAAAACAAACTAAAACACACAGTGATGACAGAAACAAGATCAAAACCTTCGGCCAACACCTTCCGTTCACAAAGCTCAGTAGTGGTAGGGCAAACCCGAGTGCCTGGAGGAAATCTACAGAGATATGGGGAGAACATACAAATTCCACACAGAAATCTCTGAAGGTGGACTCAAACCCAGGACCTTCTGGCACAAGCTCAAACCACTGCGTCGTCCTTTTTAGCGACCATGTTTGATAAGCTTTTGATATAGGCTTCTGACTAATTTCGTCATACAAAACAAGTGAAAGACCAAACTTTCGGCTGTATTTCAAGGACTCATTTTTGTTACCGGCAAATCTTTTCAAGGACTTTGTATTCAGTTTTGTTTTCAGTGCGCCATGGCGGAGATCTCACTCCAGTCCATCTGACCTGAAGTCCCGCCTGGACATTAGAATTGGGACTGGCCTAATGGGTTTTCAGCAGACTTTGCATTTTTACTCAAGCAGACTCAAGCATTTTTACCTCATATGTTATTAACTTGTTCAGTGTTGTGGACGTTCTATGGATCTATTAGGTAAGTGAGTAAGTGTTCGTTATTTACATAGCATATCTTTCACCGACCAGAGTCACAAAGTATTCTACAATTGTGGGCTTTTGTCTCTCACTTGACACAGAGATGGGAACAGGTGGAATCGAACCCAGGACCTTTGTCGGCACGGTGGCTGAGTGGATAGCACTCTCGCCTCTCAGCAAGAAGGTCCTGGGTTCGAATCCCGGCCGGACCAGGGCCTTTCTGAGTGGAGTTTGCATGTTCTCCCCGTGTCTGCGTAGGTTTCCTCCGGGTACTCCGGTTTCCCCTACCACTAAAAATATGTAAAATAGGTCTGGCATGCGCCTCCTGTTCGGCGACCCTGCTCCCATCTCTGTGTGGAGTGAGAGGACAAGTGCCCAAAAAAAAAAATATAACAATTGTAAACCGCTTTGTGACTCTGGTCTGTGAAAGGTGGTATATAAATAAAGATTACTTACTTTGTGCCGCCCAATATTTTATTATTACAGTATACTAGTGTAGTGGATGTTAAGGTTAGGGTTTGTTATAAAGCTCAAAACAGCCCAAATCCTACCAAAGCATGTTTATAATCTAGGTTTTTGGTCCCTGGAGAAGTCTGGTCAACAAAAAGTGGCCTTCTTACTAAAAGGTAGACACTGCCATATAGAGTTTAGAGTCACATACAAAGGTATATTATATTTTACAGACAAAAATAAAGAAATAAAACCCTTAATCTCGAAGGCACAATAAATTGATGTAAACATACATAATAATAATAATAATAATATTTAGTATAATAATAATTTAAAAACAATAATATTATAAAACACTTAAATATAAGAATGTAATGTAAACTTTACTTTTTACTTGTGAAAAGTAAAGTTTACATTACTTTCGCTTTGTAGCTGTAGTTGCGCGCTCTAACCACAAGATGGAGACACAACCTTTCAGATGAGAGCCCGCAGAACCATGAGCCATGAGTGTTTATAGACTATTTGAATAAGCTCCGAATAGTGTATTTTGAACAAGACTATTCAATTCTTATTTGGCCATCAATGTCACCTCGTGGCCTTTATAGACAAATAGATAGTTAGATAGATAGATATATACTTTATTGATCCCCATAGGAGAAATTCAGGTGGGCTTGTAGCAGCAGAAACACATCACAAAATAAATTAATAGATAATACTCAAAGTAGTTCAGTATCTGTAAAATAAAGACTACATATTGTAATATGCGTTCAGACCATTTAACTCTGCAAAAACTCTTCTCTTCTAAATTAAAGATGTTGGTAGTGACGATAATGGTAGTGATTTGTTTTGTAGTTTGTTATAATAATAATTGTTAATACTAATAATTGTTGTTAATAATAATAATAATAATAAGCATAATAAGCATAATAAGCATAACAATGAATAAGTAGAATTATATTTGTTGGAAATTCTGCCTTTGCCCTCTGCCCCCGCCCCTCGCTGTTTACTCGGCTGTCGTGCCCGCTCTGGTCCGCTCTGGTCCGCTGTCTCCCGGGGCAGACAGTGGGCTGAAGTCATGACAGCAGCGGGCGGCGTCGGTTTGGATTACTAGCTCACTTTTTCCAGACTTTATTCCAAATAAAGCCAGTAACTTCACTATTTCCTGTAAGATTGGTCTCAATGGTCTGAATGCGGGAACAGAGGCACCCGGCTCCGGCCCGCGTGGAATCAGGAAGTTTGGTGTTGTTTTGAGAAGGATGAGGACGCTCCACACAACAGTACGTGCTCCAGTCGACTTGGATATGTGTTTGTGACTTGTTTACGACTGCTTCATGGATATGTTATTACTGTTTTATGACTGTGTGATAGTCTGAAGTGTGCAGAAGTGGAAGAGAAACTTTCCACGCGTTCCTCTGGGTAGGACAAAAGCGAGTTGTTAAAAGGCGAGATTTAAGTAGTAGTAGTAGTAATGTAGTGTTTATTTATATACCGCCTTTTCACTGCACATCGGAGTCTCAAAGCGGTTTGCAATTGTTATTTTTGGGAGTGGGGCCAGTACAGGAGGCACATGCCAGAACTATTGTACATATTTTTAGTGGTAGGGGAAACCGGAGCACCTGGAGGAAACCTACGCAGACACGGGGAGAACATGCAAACTCCACTCAGAAAGGCCCTGGTCCGACCGGGATTCGAACCCAGGACCTTCTTGCTGAGAGGCGAGAGTGCTAACCACTCAGCCACCGTGCCGCCCTAATGTTGAGCTAATGTTATAATCAGGTTAAGTTACAGTAAAGGACTTACAGGACAGGCTCACAGAGAAGTTGCATACGAGCTGCAGGATAAAAGCAGTGGTAGAGATGTGGGGTTGTATTTGATAATCTGATAGTTAGTCGGTTCGTTATTCGATTAATCAATTAGTTGTTTAGATTCCGAACGATCAGTGACTATGGGGATATACGCGTGACCAAAACAAAGCTCAGGTTATGCCCCTGCAGAACCTCTTCATAGAGATGACTCGTTACACATTGGGTTGGATTAAAAATACTTTGTAAGCAATTTTTACTGTCATTTTGCTGTCATTCTCCGCATATTAAAGTCTATGTAAGGTTCAAAAAACGATTAGATCTTATTGTGCATTGCAAAGGTTGGAAAAAAAAATGGTGAAAAGTTCAATGTTATGTGCAGTTATTTCAGAAACCTCTCAGAATTAATGTTTTTATTTTTTAGAATATGTCTATATGTGTAAGGGTGGGCTACATTAAAAAAAACGATAGTTGAAAATACTAGTTGCACTTTCAGAAATAACTGATATTTTTTTTAAAATAGCTTCCTGTTTTGCCTGAAAAAATGTACAGACTTGCTCAAAGTAGAAGAGGTGAAACTATTATTTTATTTACACGTGAAACATAACTCCAAATAACATTGATCTTTTCACAATTCATTGTACGTTTCAAGTATGGCTTAAAACTTTATAATTGTTAACAACATCCTTCTCAGATCAATACAGACTTAAATGTTTACCATATTTTACTCTATTAGGCACCTGCACTCACCACGTGTCACGGGGTGAGAGGAAAGAGGACCCAAAATGCAGAAATGATTTAATAAGGATAAATTAGAAGTTCAAGATGGAAAAACAAACTCGAAATCCAAACGGTACCAGGAACAGGCAAAGACATTGACAATGAATCAGCAACCAGGGCAGAGAAGCACAGGTACATATGGACAAAGAGACACAGGTACATAGACACAGAGATACGGGTACATACAGTATAGACACAGAGAGACAGGTGAAAAACATGAGGGCGGAGCAGACAATCAACCAAGGGGAACAGGACAGAAAGTAAAACTAAACTATCATAAAAGTCAAAATAAAACCAAGTAAAAATGACACAAATTCCACACCATGACACCAATTTTGAAATAAAATCCTTCAAACTCGTTCCTCGCTCTCATAATAGTCTGGTTTGTATGTTATTAAGGATTGATTAAAGTCAAGGATGTGAGAAGGCTAGGGCAATTGTCACTTGGGGCAAGTTTCTGCATACCTTTTGAAACGGTATTCAATTTTTTACTTACAGCCAAGGTCCAAGGGTGGTTTGAATGATGGAAGTGTGACAATGGCACAGCGACTGAGTCGAGATTTCATATTGGTGTGTTAAAGGGGCTCCGGAGCTCAGGCCCGGACCCTCCCCTGTGAAGATGCAGCAAGACAGTGAGTTCCATTCAATTCACTTTATGTATGTATCGCCCTAAATCGCAACAGTTGTTCTACCGCAGGACTTTACTTTGCCGTCGATTCGCCAACGCAGATCAGAGAATGAAATGGTTCAAATTCAGAAAATGAAATTCAAAAAACACATGCAGGTATGGCCACAATATTTTAATGGATCATTTATTTAGAATCATCTTCTGAACAATTAAAATCTAAATAATGATCTACAACAATGTTATTAAAACAGTTTGCCCAGTTTTGCATTCAGTCCCATTGTATATATTTGGCCCTCTTTAACCACAAACATGGTATTTACTACATGTGCGGTCATACCTGCATGTGAAAGCCAGATAATGTCAGACCTGTGAAATTAAGCAGTGCAGGGCCTGGTTAGTACTGCGATGGGAGACCTCTGGGTACATCAGGTGTCACAGTGGGGTGGCTACGGCTGCAAAGAGCTACACTATTGTAATGTTCTTAGGCAAGACACTTCATCCCACATTGTCTGGATTGAATCTGGTGTGCGTGTGAATGGTTGGTGGTGGTGGAGGAGTTGATGGCACACATTGGTTGCCTCGCCTCTGTCAGTGTGCCTCAGGCTAATAGATCCATGGCCTCAGGGCAGCTGTGGCTACAACAGAAGTTTATCACCACTGTGTCCAAAAAGTCCAAAAAGCGCTGAAGCATTATTTTTATTACCGGTATTACTTATTTGTAGTAGTATTTACCTTTGGGCTGACATAGTGGATTTTCCTCATATCCAGGGGTCCTGGGGTCACAGCAGACCTCAGAGCCGGACCATGGGTCACAGCAGACCTCAGAGCCGGACCATGGGTCACAGCAGGACCCCTCTGTTACTTTGGAGAAGATCCAGTCCATGTACAAGTGTGGGCAGCAGGAGTCGGCACAGGAGCTGGTGCGACAGGCGTGTGATCAGGAGCCGCGCATCGATGGGGTGAGGACAGTCTGCTCTGCTATTGTGGAACAAAGTTTATGAAGTGGTTACAGTCAATTTAATAATGCACAACATTGAAAAGTTAACAAGAAAACAAAAATTGATTTTGTTACCACATTGATATTGTTGTGTAGGAAGAAAAAAGCATTTGGAAACATACATTGTATGAGCAGTTGCAACATCCTATTTTGGAATGAATTAGTTAAACGTGTGTCTGTTGTGAAATAAAAAGTGTTTTTGTTACTTTTATATATATTTTTATTGTTAAAAACATTTCCATGTAGTGAATGAATAATGTAACTTTGGTGATACCAAATCTTGGTGCATCGCCGATGAGCCCTGAAATGTGTTTGAGCCATTTATGCTCCTTGGAGAATTAACATAATGCACCACTGCACACTGGCAGCCTCTGCTTTTTCACTTTGAGGAGCTCATGTTACAGACAAGAGAAGACACGCTGATGCAAGAGGGCTCTATCTATTTCACTGCTAAATGTTAATACTGAACCTTAAGGCAAGGCAAGTTTATTTGTATAGCACAGTTCATACACAAGGCAACTCAAAGTGCTGAACAAAGAAAGACAGATACAATCACACAAGGCATTACGATCATAAATAATCAAAGTACAACAAAAAGAGTGAAGATAAAATCCCTCAGTTGTAGCACAAACAGAACTGTCAGAGAAGAAGCCTGTCTCACATTTTCAGGAAGACTTCCAGATTTGATTTGAAATACTGCCTCCCCATGTTTAGTTTATGGTACTAACATGTCACGGTACATTGGTCCGAGGCCACAGAGAGACTTGTAGTCTTTAGCAGCACATACATATTTTTTATTGATTTAAGTCACAATTAATATTTTGTTTTCTACATTTCCGGCAAATAAGCTTCTACTTGTTTTTGTTCTTGTAACCCTGCGGCTTATATATTGATGCGGCTAATATGTGTATTTTTATTGTGGTAGAGTTGTCGGAGCAGAGGTTATGGACTATTATTGTGACTCCAAGTTTTAGTAGCTATGGGACACTCGTATATTGTCATAATAGACTGGTGAATGAAGCATGGAAGCTAACATAAGCTGTTTTAAACATCACGTCATTAAATCATAGACAGATACGCCTTTATAGTCCAGAAAGTACAGTAATATTAATTTTGATAAGTAACGGATGTCCCGCTAATTCAATCAAAAACATAAACATGACAATTGTATGTGATGTCTAGGTGGATCTGCTGTGTCTGGCTGCGCAGTATGAGGACAATGAGAGCGTCCGGTACCTGCTGAAGGAGGCCCAAGTGTCCGTGCCCTGGGAGCCCACAGAGAGGCACCCTGCTATGGTTGCAGCACACTACGGACATGTTGCTCTGGTCAGGCAGCTGCTGGACTCTGTGCCCCAAGGTAAGACAATGAGAAGGTTTCATCTCTTTGTATGTTGTTAGTTCTGGACACCTTCTGTATACTTCACTGTTATTAAGTAGAATATGCTGCATTTTTCACTTACAAATTCATGAAATGCAATATGAATGCTCAGAACGTAAAACATCACTATTTTGGATCACTCCATCAACCAATTTCAAATCCATACAATTTTACAGAACAAAGTTTTGAAATGGGGAACACAAACTTCCATACCCCTCTCACTCATTCAACACAGAGGCTGCAGAGAATCCAGATTAAACCCTCTAACACTAACTGCTCTTCGGCTCACTATTTGATTTTATCATGTTGCATTCAGTACAGAGGCTTAAATACTACAGTAACAGTTGAATCATTAATTTGGCTTCAATAAGGGAAGGCTCATTCAAAGGATATTGGGTAACATAATATTTAATCATATAAGTTGTATATATAAAAAAGTAGGATTATTAACTACCTTGATTAGTTATATAATGAAATCGGAAAAGACTCTCACTTTGAACCGTCTAAAAAATACTTTTACACTTTTGCAATGCTGCAAAGAGTTCCATTTTAAGATCTTAAAAGTGAGAGATATGACTTTTTTAAGGCTGATGCCAATATCTTCACAGTTTGACTGGCCGCTCATTATAATTTTAGGGGATTTTGGTTGTTTCAAAGAATGGAGGGAGATATAAAATATCCTGTGTTTTATTTGTGGATGATGTCGTTATTGATTTTTTTATGCATTTGCTTTCTACATTTTGGAGGTATTCTTAATAATGTATAACTTTTCTTATATATTGGTTTGGTTATTCTATTTTGGTGTCTGAACAAAATGAGGTAAACAGACTCAAATTCTTGTTTTGTTTAATTAGCTCAAGCATGTGGGCACAAACTTAAAAGTTGATATTACAAATATGTGATTGTTTGTTGTATTCTCAGCTTTTGAGGCTAAGAAGAAGCTGCTGCTGCGCACCCTGCTGACCACAGCCTGTCAAAGAGGACACCTGGAGCTGGTCAAGATGCTTGTGGATCTGTACAATGTGAACGTCAAGGACTGTGACATCTACAGTCAGGAGTTCCCTCAGATCACAGAGCTTCCCCTGTACGCTGCAGCTAATGCTGGTGTGTAACACAAGGCGCCTCACAACCCATATCACGACAAGCATAAATCATAAACATTCAAATCTTCATCAACATTAAAACATACGACTAAAAACAAACATTAAGATCACAATAAATATTAAAAACGTAGAGAATGAAATAACACAGTGCTGTTTTTAAACTGGATTTGAAAAATGCCAAAGCCTGTCTCACATTTTCTGGAAGATTGTTCCAGATTTTAGCTGCATAAATCGGAACCGCTTCCTCCCCATGTCATTTCCTGACTCTGGGCACCAGCAGAAGGCCAGTCCCTGTGCTCATCAGAGCCCGAGCTGGTTCATATGGCAACAACATATCACAGATGTGATCTCAACCAACATGATCTGCTCTTCTACATGAGGAAATACTTAGCTTGACTTCATGCAACCCTCGCCTTCTTTCAAATAATAGTAATGCATTGGTTTTATATAGCTTTTTTATATTGATGCTTCACATGTCATTATTCATCCACAACCACCCCGCTGTGTTCCCTGGTGTTCCCAGAGGTCTCCCATCACAGTACTAACCAGGCACTGTCCTGCTTAGCTCCTGAGGTCGGGATCTGGCTTTCACATGCAGGTGGAGCCACAAGTGTTTCAAATTTGTTTTATCTTTATTTAAAAAATATATACTGTATATATATTATCGATGCTGTTACTGACTAATATTTGTTTGTAATATTTGTTTGTATATATTTTTTATTCTCATTTCAGGGAACAAGGACATTGCAAGTTTTTTATTGAAGAATGGAGCCGGCTTCACATCGTACGTCCTGATCGACCATCCAGACTTCTGCAAAGAGATCATCCAACAGAGGGTCCTCGGGAACACCCACAAGGATCAAGATCAGGTTTGTTAACATTCTTCAACTTCTACAAGAGTCACTCACAATTGCTAATAAATCTTTGCATTGAACTCTCAAAAAATCAAACATTTTTGAAATTCACAGCTCTTTTCAGTAATGATCAGAATGGAAGATCTAAATTCCAGTGTTCAACAACTTATCGATCTTATTGATTAGATTTCTTAGTGAAACCCAATCCCCCTAGGCTGGCCTCACGTCACTGCAGCTCCTTGTTACGTTCAGGATTATTTTTAAGATTCTGATGTTTGTTTTTAAATGTTTATATGGTTTAGCCCCTGCATATCTGTCAGAGCTGTAATCTCTGTATGCCCCAGTCAGATTAGTGAGGTCAGAAAACCAGCTTCTGTTGAACGGGCCCAGGTCTCGTCTAAGGACACATTTTTACTTCCTGCCTTTTAACATCAATTGAGTTTCATTTTTTACATGTATTTGTATGTATTTTATGCATGTATAATTATGTGCTATACAAATAAAGCTGGCATTGACAATGTGTTGAGTCTAGTTTTACAAGCTGGGACTCAAGTGTTTTGGCCTCTGTTTGCAGAACGTATGTGTCGGCTGGAGCGGGCTGCAGCTGCCTTGGTTAGAACTCACCTGGTTCATGGAGCTCTCATCTCGGATCACTCACCTCGAGCTGTCGTCCAATCAGCTCACATGCCTGCCCTCCATCGTGCCCTGGGGCCTGGTGCATCTGCAGAGGCTGGAGCTGCAGGATAACCTTCTGAATGACATCCCACAGGTTCTCAGTTCTCATGAGGTTCTTTGCACTAGGTATGGATTTGCTATCCATTGTTTCTGTCCTCCACACTTAGTTAACACAGAGAAACGTCTTAATTGTTGTGTTGCAGTTTGCGAGAGGTGAACATTGGACGGAACCGGCTGACGTCACTGCCCTGGGGTCTGCTTCATCTCACACATCTGCAGCGGCTGTGGGCTTCAAGGAACCAGATGTCTGTTCTCTTCCAATTGCACAATGGTACCTTTTCAATTCAATTCAATCCAATGTATTCTTGTATAGCTCTAGATCACAACAGTAATTACTTCAGAGCAATTAACAAAACCGTTGAAATCGCCAACACAGATCAGAGAATCAAACAGTTCTAACGAAAAATATAGAGCACATAGGTATTGGTCCATAGGGGGAGTTGACCAATGTTAATGAATATTGATAAATGTTTTGTCTGAATTTACTCTGGTCATTTATATCTGAGGTTGATCTAAATTTTTTGTTCCTCTAGTCTGATGTATTTTAATCATTTAAGTTATGTGCTGGGAGCTCACTAGTCATGTGATAAGGAAATAAGGTCCAGGACCTTATTACAAGACAAGACATAATTATTCTCTAAATGGTCAAGGATAATGTTTTTTGCACTACCCTCCTATGTTTTTGCACTTCACTTCGTATGCAGACCATAATAAGTGTCATATTTTTACTCCCCATGTTAAGCGTCTTTGAGTGTCCAAAAAAGCGCTATACAAGTTTGATGTATTATTATTATTATGATTATTATTATTATATTGAGTTGAGTCTTATTTTCCTCAATTTTTGTAATTCCTTTGAATAATTAAAACAGCCTTGATGTTTATTTATCGAGGTGAATTTCTCCATTCTGAGTCTCATGTCATCTCATTTCTCTAGTTTGAGGCACATAAATCGCAAGCTATCCCAGAGTGAAATTTCAATACTATCGCAATATGATGGAATCGCAAGAATATTGAATTGTGGCCCTAATATCACGATACTTTCGTCTCATTTTCGCCAATTCCCACCCCTAATGTGTTTTGTACATGTTTGAGCGTAATTCTTTGTCACTATTATCAGATGTGAACTGGATGGGTCTAAGGCGGCTGGAGGAACTGGACGTGTCGGAGAACAGCCTGAGCAGTCTGCCTGCAAACATCATGCACTGTCTCAAGTCCCTGAGGAGCCTCAACGCCTGCAAGAACCAGCTGAAGGAGCTGCCTGAGCCCTGGGGTTGTCCAATGGTAAGATCTGAATCAAAGCAGTTGATGAAACCTGCCCGACAACATTCCACCTCCTGTTATCTCATAGGTTATTTCCTAATTCTAGCATGTTCGACTGGTTTCTGTGTTGATTGCAATTTAGTTTAGTCTACAAAATCCAAAAGTTCGACAAATGTTGCCCTAATTTTTCTATAACATTGTCAAATATAGTGTGGATTTAACGGTCACACAATATTATTATCGACAATGTTATGAAGAATTAGGGCATCATGTTCAAAACCAGCTTTAAGTTTTGAACAAATAACATTATGTGTAAAGCTTAAGATTGAGAGATCCTTTATTTGTCCCACAGTGGAGACATTTCAGTGTTGCGTCACCGGTTACAGAACAGTTGGAATGAGGACAAAACAGCACACGATAAATGAACAATAATTCTATACTAAAATAAAATAAAATTACTAATATAGAATAAAAAGGAAGCAAATCTTAAATCTCCAACTTTAGCATAATGAAAAAATGTCTTTATCTTATTAGCTATTAGAATGTTTGTTATTTTTAATGTAATAGCATAACATCAGTCTGCCCAGGAACTGCAGGTGGAAATTAGCTCTTGAGCTATAACCTGGTACAATGCATCTTTCCCTTTGAGGTTAATATTTACTGCACACTGTCCCTGTCATCTTACATAAATAAACTAAACTAAGTATCCTGTGCCTGCATGTGTCCTTAAAGTCTAAAAATAGGGTTATTTTCATCTTAATTCTTCTGTATCCAAGATTCTACCGCTCCGACTATTGATCACCATAGAGACTGCTGCTTTAGCTACAGCAGCACCAGGTCTGTAAGATTACCTGAAAGAATATGTGTTTGTTTTTGTAGAAGCAGTGCAGAGTCTCCAATAACATGCTTGAGAGACTTCCAGAAGGTATCTCAGCTCAGTGGAGGAAGCACCTGCAGGAGCTGGATTTCTGCAATAATAAACTCACAAAGCTGCCGGGGTATCTGTTTGAACTGGAGGTATCTTGTTGGTTGTATGTGATATGGCATTTATATTAGAGGTGCAACGGTTCATCACTGATCCGTGATCCGTTCGGTTCAACGTCTTCGGTTCGGTACAGACGTGATCCGCGGTTTGATTTATGAAAAAAAAGTTGTGCGCACATTGTTCAGTCCACACACAGCGCGGTCATTGCGAGCGGAGGAACGGAGATGCTTGAAAGCCCCGCGTCATTTAAATCCCCAGTATGAGAGCATTTTGGCTTCACTGTAACTACACTGATAATTAATAGTCGACAAAACTGTCACGATGTGTAAATACTGTGGCACAAGAAAGACATGAGTGAAAAAAGCGTCTCAACGACCGCTTATTGTCGCGGCATTTAAGCAGCTCCTTTACGCACAGTCAGACCGGGCTAAAGTCAACTCTCCCGCGCATCCTCAGCTGCGCTCACGACTGACACTTGGACGTACCGCAGAAACTATAATAGATCCATAAGCGGACCCGCTCACTTCATCACCGCAGACTGGGAGATGAAAAGTCTGGCGCTGCAGACACGCCCCCTCTACGACAGTCACACAGTCACACAGCGCAGGTACTGACACAAGCAGCGGAGGAATGGAAGACAAAGGCCCAGTACTAATATCCCAGTCACAACTGATAATGCCAAAAATTAAACAAATGCAGTGAATGAGGCTGGGCCCAGAATGGAGCGCCTCCTCGGGAGAATCAGGAAGGTGGTGTAATAATGAGGGTAAATATTCTCATAAAGTGCCTTCTTATGTTGCACTTTGTGTTGTTTTCCATTAATTATGTTAAATAGACATAATTGGATGGATGGAATATGCCATCCATCCATCCATCCATTTCCTTCCCCTTAATTCATTTCTAGGTCAGGGGGGGCAGTCAGAGCAGGAGCCGAGTCCACATGAGCTGTGTTTATTAAAAAGACAACACTTTTTTTTTGAAAAATGAACCGAACCGTGGCCTCTGAACCGAGGTACGAACCGAACCGTGATTTTTTCAAACCGTTGCACCCCTAATTTATATATATATTTTTTTTACCTTCCTGAGTAATTTGCGGTTGTAAAGTTTTGCTTATCTTATTTTTTTGTAAAATCAGTCTTTGCAATTTGCTAATTGTGACCACAAAATTGGATTCAATTGCAATTAACTGTGCAGCCGTATTTCCCAAGCTCCTCCCCATGTGTTTTGAAATGAGAGACATCAAGCGAGGGAGGTAAAGGAACATTGTCTAGTTTCCACTCTTTCTCATTTCATGAAGTCATTACAAATACAATCCAAATCTTTGTACAAAGTGTCCATGCATGTGATTCAGATTACTTTAATTATCCCACCAGGGCAACACACACACACACACACAGACAGACATAGACACACAGACACACACATAACACACGCTCACACTCACACACACGCACACATTTATGCGGCTCTCTCAGCTTCCAGATGTGGGCCAGCCTCTGGTCTGTTTACATAGAGACCAAACCATCTGGATTACACCAAAGAAACTGCCACCTCAAAGGACAGACTCTTGTGATGCTAATACTGCTTTCTGATTGTATAATTGAGAACCATAATCTTAAATGGTAACATAAATCAATCAATCCATCAACTTTTGAAAATAGTGGTATTGGTGCATCCCTAATATGTATATATCAATAATAAAATGATGATTCGCTGCCTGATGATAAATAATGTGCTGATGTCCATTGTTGTCTAAATTAAGAAGAGTCCTTTCTTTCTTATCTGTGCTAAGTTGATGAAGGATTTCCTTTTTGTGTGTCAGGCGCTGGTGTCGCTGCGTCTGGGAGGTAACCAGCTGAATGCACTGCCTTCCACCATTGAGTGGAGGTGCACCCAGCTCCGGACTCTGGACCTGTCCCGCAACCTGCTCGGAAAGTAGGTGTAACTGCAACATGTAGATGTACTGTATTTACATGAATTATTAATGAATTATACAGGTTTACCAAATATAGAAGTAACACATATGTACTAAGTTAAAACATATAATAAAAGCAATACATACCAGCTATCCAATATAAAACTAAAAGTTAAATTTAAAAACAATAAAATAAAATATATCCGCAAGGCAGCCTCCTGTATAAGCGCTATACGGTGTACTTGCCGATGAATTTGCATCCTGATCAGACCAGGATTTAAAAGATCCAGTGCGCCCGTAGTGGTCACTCTAGGGAAAAAAAAAATACACCCTCTGCGTAATGTAATATTTTGATAATATGAAACTGGCGAATAGAGGGCTAATAAAACAGATAAAACAGGGGACCACACAACTTACGTGGTGTTAAAGGCCGGAGAGTAAAAATGTGCAAAAACTCTGATTGAAAATAAAATTTTATATCTAAGATTAGCATGATTAGAAAGCAAGTATAAAACCTCTAGCTTTAGCGTGATAAGGAAGCATGTCTAAAATCTCCAACTTTTGCATAATAAAGAAGCGATGAAGAAGTATAAAATGGTCAGAGAATTGATCATTAAACTTTTATTTGTAGAGCACCTTTGCTACACAAGGCAACACAAAGCAAAAACATTAAATCTACATATACATTAAAAAAAATGATTAAAAACAAATATTAGGATCACAAGAACTATTTAAAACAGAGTAAAATCACACAAGTAATTAAAAACGCTGCCTCCACATGTCTAGTTCTGACACTGGGCACCAGCAAGAGGCTACTTCCTGTGCTCCTCAGCGTCAGAATTCATGTTTACCCCAAACAGGACAGACAAGTCTTTACAGTCAGGGCCAAGCTCAAAGAGTTAATGCTATGCGTTGCAGATGTGATACTCAAAGACAAGGCATTCAGCCATTCAGCAATAGTGATTAAACTGGTCTTCTCCTCTCCTAGTCTTGGACTGAGAGTTGTGTTTCATATAGTCAGAACTTTAATTAAAGTGTCTGCTTTTGCATGCATTGGAGCAATTGATTTCCATTCTGTTTTCCTGGTGCGCAGACTGTAAGATTTTACATATACATAATATATCTAAAATCTTACAGTAAAATAATAAAAATAAGATTATACATATACATAATAATAAATATGATTATTTAATTTTTATAAATTTGTGTGTGTTTTAAAATGTTTGTAAATGTAATGTAAAACTTGATAATCAATGGTTTCATTACAGTAACCTACTACACAGTGACTGCCTTGGTCATTTTTCTGTTATTTCTTTCAGAAGTGAGGATGTGGTCAAAACGAAGAGACTGGGGTTCCTGTCAACATGGACCAAGAGAGACCATGAGGCTGGTATGGTTGAGAGGTTTTTCCTTTCCTTTTGTTTTGTTCTTTTCTCTTTTATCTCATAATTCTGCTCAAAATGTGATCAAAATAGAGTCGACCATTATATTTGGTCCTCTCCTTTGTGGACCAAATATAATGGAAATATAATACTGTAGTGAAAAGTAGAGAATTTAGAATGTCAATTAACCCATTTGTATCCAAAGTAGCAGACAATCTTCATGAGCTGAATCGAGGAAGAATGTCCAATCGTTTTTTTTTCTTTGAAATTTCACTTGATTTTAGTAGTCCTGTAAATCAAATGCAAGAGGAAATTCTGGTGCCTAAAGGATTTAAGGTGCTGTTTACCTGAGGACGCTGCGGCAGTAAAAGTTAGAGTTGGGTATCAGATTAATGCAGAATTATGTTGGTGAAATCTTTCACCTGAGTAGGATGTTGTCAAGGAAGTGATTATACCGGCAGGGGTTGCGCATGTCGTGGCGTAAAGTTCCAGTGCCCACTACTGGCCGAGTGCTAGAACTACGCTGTTTTCCGTTGTCGTTTAGACGCTGTGCACTTTGAATAAGGAGATGCTTTTTTCTAATTCCTTTGGAGCGTCTCTGCAGCGTCTCTGTCTAAACGGGGCCTAATACAACCAGACTTGATCTGAAATTTTTTATAATATTGTTTGATTATGAACAAGCTTCTTTTTTTGGGGGGAATTGGGTGTGGCTGGCTTTCGTCACAATATAGAATCTCTGGGTTACTTACAACAATGTACTGCGCCCAAACTTGCTTTTTGCTGCTTTTTCAACATAAAAGAACTTTGTTTCTTAGCTGTGATTTGTGTTACGTGAATGTGTGTGTCCTTTGCAGTGCCTTCAGTTACATTCCCTCCCATGCTCCGAGACTGTCTGGAGGTGCTGTACTTGAACGATAATCATCTGGAGGCCGTCCCACCATCAGTCTGTGGTCTGAACAACCTCAGTGAGCTCTACCTCTACAAGTGGGTCCCCCCAGATGTTACACTGACACACAAATTCCATAATAAGGAACATGTAAATGCCAAATCTACCGATTTGAGTTTTTAGGCATTGCATTGTTGTATCACCAAAAACAGACCTTGAGTCATTTAGAGATCATCATCTAATACAGGGGTGCTCACACTTTTTCAGCATGCGAGCTACTTATAAAAGGATCAAGTCAAAATGATCTACCTACTACAAAAATGCAAATCATATATTTCAAAAAATATTCTTTATATCTACAATGTATGTTTATGTACATGCAAAACCGCATGAGCCAATATAGCACAACACAACACAATTACCTATGTACATTTTTTGTCATTACCCGAGTTTACTCTGATGACTTGGACTGAATTGAATCGGCCAGGGATGCATAGTCCGGAAAATTGGTGGTAACTCGCTGACAAGTTTGTCGTGGTTTAGCTTTCCTGCACTGAGCGCGGTTGTTTGCGCATGTGCAGTCACCTAAGTGTCAGTAAAACATTACTGAGTAAAACACAGATGTCATTTGACTGTGGTGCCATGTCCATGTGCCATGCCTGTTTTTTTTTTAAATCCAAATATTTCCCCTCCTCCATTTATAAAATAATTTGCATCCACACATCTGCGTTATCAATCACATTCGTAACATTCCAAACATGTGCGTCTCTTACGTCCTGTCCTGCGTTGGGGAAAAACACAGAAGTGGGCGGAGCTTTGATGCAGACGCCGGTAACGGCACTTTTACAGTCATAGAAGACACTCAGAGAAAAGACGTATGTTTACAAGCACTGACCCCGTCCTCAGCCCTGGTTTAGTCCTGGTTTAGTCCTGGTTTGGTTGTTTTCGAGCGTGAGTCCCCGCGATCACTTTGCTGCTCTCTGATGTGGAGCGAGGATGTTTGCTGCTGCGAGCATCTCAGCAGCAAACAGTTTTTAAGGTAGTATGATCCATGCTTCAGTGATCAGAGGAATTTAGGGGGGTACTGTGGCGTGCGAGAACGCAAAACTCTGGTTATCTCTGTCTACACACAAATGCATTAACGGAGTTTTCAAAAATCTCCACTTTGCCCGGAGTTTTTTGTATATATTCGTTTAGAATGTGTAATTTTTTATTTATCTAGCGATCTACCAATACTACCTTTGCGATCGACTGGTAGATCGCGACCGACGTATTGAGCACCCCTGATCTAATATTAGTAACTTTTTGCACAGAACTCTGCCACTTCTACCTCAGTCCTGTAAAAATATGACATCATTGTAGCACTATGACATCTCGCTCAGAGCTGTTTCCTGCCATTCTGGCCTGAGCCTGGAGGTTGTGGGTTTGAACCCACCACGAGACCTGCTCCACCGACTCCCACTGATTTCTGCTGTCGTTGTGTCCTTGGGCAAGACACTTAACCCCACTTTGCCTGAAGCCCCCGCTGAAAGATCAAGGCTATGCCATAGAGCAGCCGTCCTCCTGTGGACTCACCAGCTGCAGGAGGATCAGTGAGGGGCTGGTGCTCTGTGTACTGGTTGGCATCTCTGGCCACCCTCCCGACCCAGAAATGGATTAAGGGATAGAAAATGGAAAGTACAGTTATGACTATTAAGCAGCAATTAACTTCTAACTGACACTTTCCCATGTGGGCTCGGGTTTGGGTTAGGGTACACTAATTAGAATCTAAAGTGTTATCTATTTCTTCTTGAACATTACCCTAAGATGCATTTTACTTTGCAGTTTTAGTACTGAGTACTTTTGTAATACTGAAGCTCTTTCCTCATATGCTTTGTGTTTCTAGTAACTCAGCGATCACAGAGCTGCCTGTGGAACTCGGACAGTTGTCCAACCTATGGCAGCTGGACATCGAAAACCTCAACATCACCAACGTCCCCCAGAACATCCAGAAAGAAGGTAATGTTATGAGGAACCTAGATTTAACATTTAACATTTTAACATTTAACAACAAAGACCTTTCATGACCTTTTGAGATGACCAGAAATCAACATTCAAAATTAACTGGATAACATTGATATACATCTTTTTGGAGCAGATACACTCGGAAAAAAAGATTATTTATCTCAAGGTGCATTCCCCAATATATAAATAATTAAATACTTCATCATTTAAAAAACTTGATATAAGCTCTTCATTCCTTCAAGTCCAGTGTTATAGTAGCATACTGATTGCTTGTTATTTTTAGTTTTATTTATTGTAAATAATTGGTAAATAATTGTGTATTATCTTGGCTTAGACAATATTTTAAGGCCTGGTTTTGCCCTTTTTCAGACCAAGAAAATACCTGTTTTGTCTTTGTAAATGGGCTGCGTTGTTGTCCATCAGGTACATTCTCAATTCTGTCCTTCTTGCGAGCTCACCTCCGTAAGGCTGCGCCCTGTCACCTGCTAAAGATGATTGTGATCGGACCCCCGCGGCAGGGCAAGACCACCCTGCTGGAGGCTCTGCAGACCGGCCGCGCCCCCCAGCGAACTCCGACCTCCTGTGGCATTGACACATGGTCCTGGCTCCTGGACAGACCCAGCGCAGGCAAGGGCAATGTCAGTGGGCACAGCAACTATCACACAGACTTTGAGATTTTGTAATGATGATCGGCAACTGTCTATTGATTTATTCTGATCAAGTTAGTTAGTCAGTGTAAAGTCAGTTTCTGTAGTGTTTTTGTTGTTTATTTTATTGAGCATGCTTTTGTTTACAGAAGGACTTTGTGGACTTTAATGTGTGGGACATCGGAGGAACATCCAATATGTCAACAGTGAATCACTGCTTCTTCACCAACAAGGCCCTGTACCTAGTGGTATGGAACCTGGCTCTGGGGGAGGAGGCTGTGGTCAACCTACAGACGTGGCTGCTCAGCATAGAGGTGCTCTCACATACCGTACATGTTTTATCACTAACAAAAGGCATTCAGCTCACCTGCAGCAGGAACTAAACTGTCAAAAATGCGCATAACAGGTTTTGTTGTCAGAAGTTCACTCTGTTTATACACCCATACATTATAAAAAGGCAATAGTTTGTAACAATATCAGGTCATAGACTCATCTGAATTAGATATATATATATATATATATATATATATATATATATTTTTTTTTTTTTTTTTTTTTTAAATCTCACCTTTCGCCCTCCGCGGGCAGTTATCCCTCTCTAAACTCGAGTCCTCTACCAGAGGCCTGGGAGGTTGAGGGTTCTACGGGAGCTTGAGCTGTTCCTAGCACTGCACATTTCTGGGCCGAGATTTGTTCCAGGGATCCGCTGTAACCACTCCTCCAGATTCGGGGTCACTGCCCCAAGTCCACCAATCACCACGGGCACTACTGTCACCTTTACCCTCCAGGCCCTCTCCAGCTCCTCTTTGAGCTCTGATTCTGATTTCTTAATCAGAATCAGAATCATTTTTATTGCAATGTAAGTAACAGGAAGTCACAGACATGGAAATTGTTTTGGCTCAGTGGAACAGTCAGAAAGACAGGTTAAGAGCACAATAAAAAAAAAATAAAAAAAAATCACCAACACTTCTAAGGAATAAAATTGAAAATAGAACTGTTACAATTATTACAATTACTATATACAATATACAAGTGCACACAATATAAGGTGTCAGCAGTAAAGTGACATATATATATACATATATATATATATTTTTTTTTTTATTCAATTATTTTGTTGATGGTAACTAACTGTAACAAAATTAGGAGATTTGCACGCCTACAGCTATTATACATACTGCTTATTATCCAAAAGTAAAAGTATAGCTGTTTAAAGCCATCATTAGACAATCAAAAGCTATGTATTGTTCAAACTCAAATCACACTGATCTCAAATTAATGGAGCAGGACATAGACTAATGCGACCCTGTTTATCTTTCAGGCTCGTGCCCCAAACTCGGCAGTGGTGGTGGTCGGGACACACTTGGACCTTATTGACGCACAGTTCCGCACAGAGAGGATGGCCACGCTCAGGGCCTATGTCCTGGCCCTGTGCAGGTCTCCTTCTGGGGCGAGAGCTATGGGCTTCCCAGACATCACCTGCAAAAACATCCAGTAAGAATACACAGCCTGAAGCAACAGTTTATACTGGGGACTGTGTTTCGGGAGTTGTATAGTGTGTCCCTATATTATACTATACTCTGCGTCTGATTGGTGAATATATGATGAGCCAGTCCGTGTCAGTCTGGATGCAGGATTGCTTTTCTTTTCTGATCTTGCTTTAAACCAGTGCTTCTCAACTATTTTATGTTAATTGAAGATATACTCCACTTTTATTTCTCTGCACTTGTTTATTTAGTCACAACCATATACAGGTTTAAATTGCAACTGCCCTCACAATATGTGGGCTATGCAAAAGGTGCTAGAGCTAGAGAGTGGGGCATAGAAGGGGAATATCAAACCAAGAGCTAAAGCCACATCTTTAGGTCAGCTCAGCAAATCAAATAGTGTCTCACAGGATTTTTATGTTAGCAGATGTAAGTTACCTGTTGTGTAGATGTAATTGGGTCTGTGTTTATTTCTCACCACAAGAAAGTATAACATTTCGGGCGTTGGCCTTGATCAGTGTGTGATATTTTGTCCTTCACAATGTGTGATGTGAAACGTTATACTTTATTCTCACAGCCAGAAAGCGTATCAAAGCTTTCTCTCTTGTGCAGTCCTTTAACTTAGTTTGTTTCAAGCACACAATGAAAAAGTGTTCATCATGGACAACAACAACAAAACAGCGGTAAGAAAACTAATTGTAAAACAAAGATAATTATTTGCTGCTTGAAAAAGAGTGGGAGGATGTTGAACACTTATTAATTCCCACTTCCTCTTTCAGCATCTAAGTATTATTAGTTTTCTTCTTTTGGTTTTACTCTTTCTTCAAGAACTTCTAATTTACAATATGTTAGCATCATAAACATTCAAGAATATTGTTTTTGAATCTTTTCCAAAATAGTTTTTTATTTGGACATTGCTGTAGCTGAGCATATAAGCTGTTCCACAGTTTAACCCCTTGTACTGATTATTTTTTCTGTGTTTCATTGGTAATATGAAATGTTTATTTCCTTTCTGCACTTACCCTCCTTCTCTTTCAGTAAAAAACTATTTGTACATCTCTGCACCTTTGTCGAGATTTTAATGCGTCTCATTCAATGCATTGGGATTGATACAGACCGATAATGGTAGCCATATGTTTTTTATGGTTATAAAAATGTAGCATGAAACAAAGGGAGTGAGTCTGAGCAGTGAGTGATTGATGAAATGCTCTCCACAGTGAGGTCTCCTGTAAGACTCTGGAGGGAGTGGACGAGCTCAGGAAGCTGCTGTTCCATGTGGCAGTCTCCATGAAGGACAGCAGCAGAGGGGGATGCAAGCTGATTGGACGGCTGGTGAGCGTGATCGTGCTATTTCCAACATACTCGCAATCACAAAACTCTACCTGATTGGCCTCACATGGTTGTCATGGTTTTTTAGTAGTTCTCTGTATCACACTAAACAACTAGATGCAATGGGGTTCATGGAGTGAAGGAATTCATTATATTTTATCAAATTAGATTTACAAAATGTCGAAATTGTGCAATAAAAAAATATGACCCTTCTGCAAAAACATATATGAAATAGTTATGTTTTTTTTTTTTTTACATTTACAATGGAACAAGCAGCAAATGTTCTGCGCCACTTCACGCTCCATAGCAGCAAAATATATATGTGTTTGTCCTCTGTGGGCTGGTTTGGTCAGATGCAAGACTTAAAAAATATACAGTACAAACCAAAAGTTTGGACACACCCACCCATCTCAAGAGTGTTTTATCTTCATGACTATCAAAATTGTTGATTCACACTGAAGGCCTCAAAACTATGAATTAACTCATGTGGAATTATGTACTGTATGTACCTAATACCTTATATTCTGGGTTCCTCAAAGTAGCACCTTATGCTCTGATTACTGCTTCGCACTCTCTTGGCATTCTTTTGATGAGCTTCTTAGAGGTGACCTGAAATGGTCTTCCAACAGTCTTGAAAGAGTTCCCAGAGATGCTCAGCACTTGTTGGCCCTTTCGCCTTCATTCTGTGGTCAACACAGGTGTGGACAAACTCCGGCCTGTGGACCAGATACGGCCTTTTGGACATGTCTATTATGCCCCTGAGCCCACCGCAAATTACATAGATATAGAATAATGACTACAAAATGTATAATTTCATGTAATATATTTATGTGTAAAAAATAAAGCCTGAGAAAAACATTGGACATTGGTCCGAGCCCTTGATAGCAGGCTTTTTTTCTAATGTGGCCCTCAGGAGGAGATGTACATGCCTGCTGTAACATGACATTTGTCCGTTCCAGATCCCCCAGAGCTACATACGAGTGAAGGATGCCGTGATCGTGGAGAAGGTGAGGAGGAGGTCTGAAGGCCAGGTCCAGTACCTCACAGACGCCCAGCTGGAGAGCTTGGTGCTGCAGAGCCCAGAGAGCGACCTCTGCGAGTATGAAGACCTGCCCACTGGTGCGACACCACTACCGAGGCTTTGAATCTAGTTTCTTTGAGAATCTTTGATGATGAAGCTGTTTTGATTCTTTTTTCATTTAATGTAACGGCATAGAAAGACATGATTCTATCAAGTGGAAAGGAAATATAACTTCACTTCCTTATTTCAAAAATAGATGTTTTAACACAGACTATTTTGATCTTGTGTCAAAAAAAGGCAAGACAAAATTTTTTTATTGCTGCAAACAATTGGAATGGTCTGAGTAAAGCACAATATGCACAACATATTCAGCTCCACGTTATGCAAAAATGCGAGCTCACATACAATTGAATACATTTCACAACATAAACTACTACTTCAACTACACTCAAGCACCGCAGGTTGACCTATTGACAAACTGTTATTCCTCAGCTCTGCCGCAGCTGTACTATGCTCTGGACGGGTCCCTCTGTCTCTGATTTTTCTTGAAAAAAAGGCGTTCTAATTATCTACCAGAACGATATCTTCAACTCCTTCAGCCGTAGAGGGTTGGAAAAACTAAAACAAGTTGTTGTGCTACACATATTAGGAATTTTGTTTGTTTCTGTTTATCACATTAACGTGTGGTCTGCACTGACATCTTTCTATATTGTGTATCAAATCAAAAGACGTGTAGATTCAGACGCTACCTGGCCCTGAGGAAGGAAACTTTAACAGTTATGTTATATTGGTAGTGTTGACTGAAAATAGTTGTGTTTGTTTTTTTGTTTTGTGTTGCAGCTATCGGGTTCCTGATCGACACAGGGACTCTTCTGCACTTCCCCGACACCAGCCACGGCCTGTGCACGCTGTACTTCTTGTGTCCGCTGTGGCTGTCTGAGTGCCTGGAGCGCATTCTGGACCTGAAATCTACACGTGCAGCCATCAAGAACGGAGTGATCAACATCGGGGACCTGCGGGTTTGGGATGCTTTTATTATTAATATTAAGATTCAACCTTTAACTGCTAGTTTTAAACTTCACATGTTGTACTTTACTATTCCACTCTGTCTATGTTTTGTTTTTATTGTTGTCTGTCTGCTTTATTCTGCTGTATTTCTTTTTTATCTGACTGCTTCGTTGAATGTTTTTACTGCTTTATGCTGACTGTGCAGCGCGTTGTAAACTGTTTTTTGAAAGTGCTATACAATTAAAGATTTATTATTATTATTATTATTATTGTTATTAGGGATGGCACGGTGGCTGAGTGGATAGCACTCTCGCCTCTCAGCAGAAAGGTCCTGGGTCCTGAGTGGAGTTTGCATGTTCTCCCCGTGCCCTTGTAGGTTTGCTCCGGGTACTCCGGTTTCTCCTACCACTAAAAAAATGCTCACTAGGCTAAATCCTCCAGCTCTGGTAGTCCTGACCAAGCCGAGCATCAACATCTGGAGATGGGTTCTCGGGCACTGTACTACGGCGACCACTGCTCCTGACGTAAGCCTTCGCGGCATCAGGATGGGTCATATGCAGAGGATTGAGTTGCCCTACGGCACATGTGTCAAAGTCAAGGCCCGCGGGCCAAATCCGGCCCGCGAATGAATTATCTATGGCCCCCGGGACATTGCCTACCATTGAGGCAATGTAATGACCCCTTAAGCTCGCTAGCCCCCGCGGGCGGGAGCAAACGAGGAAAAAAATACATCTGCTGGCAATAGCAGATGTATTTTGAACTTCATAAGCCACAAGCTATATATCATTTTAAAGCTTATTTTCTCAGCTATATTTATATGTAGGTGTAAACGATATCAGACTTTGCATTAAAAAGATATAATGCATAATATGGGCACAAAATAAATCAGTCTGTATTTGTTTTTTACCTTTCGTCTTCTGCTGCTCCAACAAATTAGACTTTCCCCATCCTTGCTTAGTCTCTTTCTCTCCGTAACTGTTCATTGGGAAATATAAGTGGATATTCTTCTTCAAAGTATAATCCATTCTTCAGATGTAATCAAAAAACGCCCCAAAAAGAGGTCCAGACTGCTCTTTTACATTTCACCAAGTTTGAGCTTTTTCTTTTTTTACTATTTTCATGTTCTCAGATGTCTATTACATCTAATATGTACAGTGTGAGGATTGGCTTTAGAGCATATTTTATCAAGCCAACAGGTGTCACCAGCACTGCCTCTGTTGAGAAACATTGAACCAGTCCGGCCCTCGGCGCGTAGCAAACATTTTTTTTTGGCCCTCTGATGTATTTGACTCATTAAGAGATCCTTCGTTGCATTATCAGTTACAGAACAGTAGGAATGAGGAGCACACAGCTCTATACTAAATAACTTTGTACTAAACTCTATACTATTTTTTTCATATAATTGGATTACTTTTCTAACTCTACATTTTTCTTGTTAATATATTTTTATTTCGTTTTCAGGAGCTGCTGGTGGGGACGGGCTTCACTCCGGAGACAGAGGAGCAGTATTTTCAGTTCTTGGCTAAATTTGAGATTGCGCTTCCTGTTGGCAAAAATGGGTATTGCATTTATTCAACTCTTGTTTTATCTCATTCAATTGTTTGTTTTATGTATGTGTTGGTAGCATGCATATTTCACTGAAGATTTTTCACATTCACTGAAACTTATTCTTCAGGCGATTTACAACATTTTTTAAAATCAAAATTCTGCCACCAGGATGTAGACTTACTCTGTTTGGCAATTATCCTTTCTAAATCTGTGATATATTCGGTTGATTTGTTTGTTTTTCAAACTTTTTATTTCTATATATAATCCATACAAAAGCACACAAACACACAATAACAGTTTCAAACTCAAACAATGACCCACATCAAACCCAACTTTCTAAAATCAATTAAATCAATTAAATCTGACGACTCAGTTGGTCTGTAATTTTTTGCTCAAAGGAAAAAAAATCCACAGATTGCTAATGTGATCTGCAGTGATGCTGGGCCTTTGACGTGACCATGTTTTACACATATTTTGTAAATAAAAAAAATACTTAGTGGGATTGAATCATAGGCCGTATTTGAGGAGTGGACTGACGAGTGCTAACGTGTGTTTGCTGAAAGAGGAAGAAGCCAATTTGAGCATAAGCTAGCTGGAGCCAATTTCCTTATTTGGGCATTTGTTCCCGACGAGATTAGCTTTGCGCCCTACTGCAGGGCAGACATGTTGTAAAAAATCTTTTAAGGCAGAGTATCCCCTGTGAATGAAGGCAATCTGTATATGGCTAATATCTGGATTTTCAAAGACAACATCTAAATAAACCTCAGGATCATATCGAGCCCTAAACTATTGATCTTTTAAGCCCAACATGGTGAGTGTAACACAAACGGTTACTGAGCTAGAAGATTTTATCCTTTATTCAGATTATGTGTTTTGAAAGCTACTAAGATTCATGTATAGCATTTGTAATACATATATTTTTTGTTCCATGCAGGTACCTATTGCCCCACCTTCTCCCGCCCAAACCAGTCCTGGACATCCACTCTCTGCAGCAGGTCACCACCAACACGCTACAGCGCCTCTTCAAGATGAGCTTTGTTCCCGCTGGATTCTGGGAGCGTTTCATCGCCCGCATGTTAATCAGCCTCAGAGAGATGGACCTGCAGGTGACAGTTTTGTTAAAGGACACATCATATTACTACAGTATTGTATTATATTATCATCTCTGCTGCTGTGACCTGTCCTGCTCCACCCAGTGGCTACACCATCTCCGCTGCTGCAACCTTTACTATTGTTTTCTACTTTTAGAATGATGTATATTTGTTTTTTGGATGTGTTTCTGCTGCTACTGGACACTTGCATTTCTCCTAGGTAGGGTCAATTAAGTACCTATCTATTGTAAAAATGTTCTTTACCTTTTGTGTGACTCTTGTGTTGGTGCACTGGTTCGACGCGCAGAGAGAGAGCTCCAGAAGCAGGGCCTCGGTCATGTATAGCTCCGCAGGAGCTTTGCACAGGAGCCGCTGCAGCACCTTCAGAGTGCAGCGCAGACGGACTATCTACTGGAGGGAGGGGCTGCTAGTCGCCTTCCACGGAGGACATCTCAGGTACATTTATGGTCCTCTATACCAGGGGTGTCAAACCGGTTCCAGAAAGAGCCTGTGTGGCTGCAGGATTTCATTCCAACCATGTAGGTACACAGCAGACTCCACCCATTTCCTTAATGGTCCCATATTTCGCTTCTCTTAATTTTTCACAGTCCTTCCTATGCACATGTGTGATAACTATTTGAGTAATACACCATACAAAACTTGATGTCACTTCTAATGAATTGCTTTGATCTGTGCTCCTCTGCCTGTGAGCCCGCTTCCCCTCATCCGTGCGGTGACATAACTTCACGCTGACTTTGTAAACACAGAACTATTTAGCTTAGCCCAGTACATAGTCATTTCAGACCTGAGAATAAAGGTTTCAAACTCAGCTTTTGAGTAAGTCCAGTTTCATGGTAAACAGTCTTTGTGAAGTGTCTCGCAGAACCGCAGATTTGTCCCAGATTTCATTTTTTTTTTTTTTGGGCCGAACCCACATAGTTACACCCAAAAACACATTTTCTCCAAGTCACATGATGCTAACACTTTTAGTTGCTGTCAATAGCACAAAAAAAAACAGTTTAGAAGCTAACACAGACTGTGGTAGATGCACGTCCATACGCTGGGAAAGGCTCGTGCCGCGTAAGAAAGTGATACTAACAAAGTGAATTGAGTCGGTTTTGAGTCTATCTGGAATCAAAGAGAAAGATCGCTCTCTAACTCTCTGGGCATGTGTATGAAGAATATCAGAGGCTTCTGACACAACCAAGTGTTTTTCCATTCAGTGTAAAAGCTCTAGCCTGGCCTTAGCCATCCGTACACTCCACTCCGCTCAATCATAATTTCACTGCATGTAACGTCTGGGTCTGGTCCCTGTGTTAGCAAATACAATCGGCCGTATTTCGACCGGCTACTCAGAGAGCGCGGAAGGCGGGTGTTGTAGGTCGGTGCCGGTGACGTCAAGAGTTTGCGCCGAACGGGCAGGTTGTAGTTTGGCAATGGCAAAGAATGCGATTGTAAAGTAATCCGGTCTGGTTCTATCTAGAAATTGAAGCAGGAGCAAGAGGAATGTTTAGCAAATGTAATCGCTGGTCAAAATTGTGGCGCTACTCCCCACGGGCTCCGTTAGCGGCAAAGGAGATGGCTAGGCTAAATGCTAAATGCTAATAACACACTCGGGTGCACTACATACGTCACAGTAAACTCAGATCCAATCGTTTCAATCTGCAAAAGGAGTTAACCCCTCCCACCTGTAAACGGAGCTCAATGGAGCAAATCCAGACCTTAATACGAAATGTAATTTGTACTATGGTGTGGTACAACCAGGCTATACAAGCTCCTCTCTCAAACTTGTAACAGTATGAAACACTATGACATAATTCTCAGAGAATTGTTGTACATTTTTAAACAAAAGTCTTGCTTATGAATTTGTTTTAGTAATTTCTCAAGTGAGTAGGTTTTGGAAAACAATCAACTCCCTTTGGTGGTAGCATAGGGAGTTACAGGTGGAAAACATTTCTTACATTTCATACTTGTTTCACCATATATTTTAAGGTATTATTTCACAATAATATAGAGCATCATTATTAATGATTATTATCATTAATTAATTATAATTAATAATTATAAATTATTATAATTATTAATGAACACAATGCTAAATACTTCTTCTTTACAATAATTAGGGAGATAAACACAACCCAAAAACCAACCCAAAAGGCACCATTCATCTGTTTCAACAAGGCCTCGCTGACTTCATAATCATTCATCCCCAAAAACGTATCCAATATTTTATTTCCTTTTAAGTGTGGAGTCGGCTGAGCTGGACTGGAAGAGGAAGAAGAGTGGAGGGATTCGGATCACCTGCCAGTCCGAGACCAGGGACTTCTCTGCCATGGCCTTCATCACAGATCATGTCAACTCTCTGCTCGAACAGTGGTTTCCCGGTCGGTCCACTCACATGTATTTTTGTATAGCCCTAAATCACAACAGTAGTTTTCTCGGAAGACTTTGCACAGCTGTCAAATTGTTCATGATTGTGTTCGCATATCACCGCAGCACATCAAGTATCACCTCAACGCTAAACATAGAGCAGCTAGCAGGAAGGCACCCAAGCCACATTCCACCAGGTGACCGGTTTAAGGACCAGGCTAACTAAGTCCAGGTCTGAAAAAAACCACTAGAAGATAAGGGGATCCATAATGTTTTATATTTCTGAATGGTATATTACTCAATGGTATACTAAAAATCCATGTGAAAAAATACTTCTCGCTGTTCTCAGGTCAAATACTTATATGCGATTCATTTTTATTCATTAACTACATATTTTTGTATCGAGTCCCAGCCCTAGTTAATAGACATACATGTTTTTAATTGTCCTGGATCAACAAACATGAGATAAAATTAGTCTCTTCTTAGTTTAATTACAATGTGTTGTGTGTTTCAGCTTTGACCGGCACAGAGAGCGATGGCAGCCTGCTGATGGAGCAGTACGCCCCCTGTCCCCTGTGTCCGCCTGGCACAGAGCCGCAGGGACATTACTTCAGCATGGAGGACTGTGTGTTAGCGGCTGTAGACAGTGACAGTATTGTGTGTCCTCAGCATCCAGAGCGCCCCGTCCTCCTTCAAGAGCTGGTCCCTGAATTCTTCATGACAGATTTCCCATCACGGTACTGCACTTTGGTCTGCTCTAGAGAATATATTTCGTTTTATACTTTCAAAATTCAAATTGATGTATCATTTTAAATCATTTTGCAACTAGATAATGTATGAAAAACATGTTAAATGGATAGAGGATCAGTAAAACATAAATACAGATAATGGTAGAAGTAGGAAATGACTTCAATTAATCAATCCAAAGAGCCTAAAATTTAAATTTGTGGTAGGGCAGCTGAAAAATCTGTTCTTGTATCTACAGTATGTATCTATCAAAAGTCAAACCTCTAGTCTTAGTTTTTATCTGATTTCTCTGTAATCTCTGGGCCAATCCACATGAATTTAAAAAAAGGTTTCTCATCATTTTTGATAATGATACGATGGATGCTTTCTTTTTTATAAAGCGCTTTTTGGACACTCAAAGCCACAGCTGCCCTGGGGCACACTGATTGAAGTGATGCAACCAGTACGTGTCATTGGCCCCACCGACCACCACCAACCATTCACACACACACTTAGACTAATTTTAGTCTTTGTGGGTGAAGTGTCTTGCCGAAGGACACAGCGACAGTTTTGTTACTTTAATGTTGTGGGCAATTGTCCATTGTCCATTTTTGGGCAAAGTTTCTCATTATTGAATCAAATTGTCCTTTTAATAAATTCACAGACTGATATTTGAATCCATTGTGAAGTAGTGGAGACTAATAACAGAAGAAAATAGGCCCTCCTCTGCAAACACACACTAGTCTTTAAGATCATAAACACAAGATCATTGCTTTTCTCTAACATACTTAAATGTATTGGCCTATCTGACTGGGCACTTAAACTTCATGATTCATATTTTATTTTTTGGTATTGTTCTCTGCACATGATCACTAAAGGCATGTGTCATTCCAACTCCGAAAGCGCCAGCACAAGTGTAGACAGAACTTTTTCATTGTGTCATATGTAGCTGTGGTGAAATGGTTACCATACCTTTTGAAAACCCAAATCCAGTCAAACAGTTTTATATCTGTGCTGTCGGCCCCTGGACAAGTCCGATGAGCTAAAGTGGCTCTCCTACTATCAAATTTGGACGACCCTGGTATAGAGATTTTGACTTTGTGATTTCAATCGTATTTTTGGTGTTTTATGTGATGATTTCTGTCTGAATTAGTTTGTGTTGCTCTGTGTAGGAAAGGCACTCTGCAAATGAAGATTGATTTATTGATTTATCAAATATACATTGTCAAAAGCTGTGTCCTTGTGTCAGACTGTTCTTGCAGACGTCGGAGTTGGAGTACACTGAGGAGGAGAGCAGTTTCCTGGGGCAGGGGGGCAGTGGGACGACCATACTGCGCGCTCTGTACCGCTCTCAGTCTGTGGCGCTTAAGATGTTCAACTTCAGAAAATTCAGCCGGGAACGCACCTCCAACACTGGTACGGCTTTATTTGTCAGTTGGAGCAAAAGTATTGTCAGGAATGAACCAGACGGAGACGGATCGTGGTGCGCCAAACTCTGGAAGTTTATTTCAGTTTCTCTCAAGTTCCAGTGGTTTCAATTGTTTCTTTCTCTCAGACAGAATGGAGTCAGTACACAGTTTATATAGTCATTGTCACGTCACACATCGATTTTACAAAACAACAATAAAGTCTTTACAAATACAAGGCAACTTTTGTTTCCAGAACCTCCCTTCCTGGGACACTTTCTGGTTACTGATGCAATCCACCTGCTTGGGTTTAGACAGAAATGGTACTAACTGTACTATGTGTGACTTATTTTTCTATCTGCCTTCACTTGTGTGGGTTTTTTGTGTGAATATTATTAATAAAACAAAGAACCAGCTTAATTTCACCCAACACAACTGGGAACCCTATTGTATCTCATTATAAAATATTGACATGCCATTATTATTATTATTATTGATATTGTCTCTGTGTGAATATTCTTCTCCCACTTATTTCCCCAATCAACTCAAACCCTTTTCAACTTTAAATAGTTTGTTTCAGATTTCAGCCAACATTGACACAATCTTGAAATGTGCGCCTGAAGAATTCTCTGATCATGTGAATGCTTCCTGTGCTTTCACGTGCAGTTTATTCATTTATTGTTGTGCACAGGCACCATGATGAGACACCTGCAGTCGGCCGACGCTTGCCGGAGCTTCTCAGAATTCCGTCAGGAGGCGTCAATGCTCCGCGCCCTGCACCACCCCTGCATTGTGTCCCTCCTGGGGATCAGCATCCACCCTCTGTGCTTCGCCCTGGAGCTGGCCCCACTGGGCAGCCTCAACACGGTGCTGGAGGAGAGCAACAAGAGATCTGGTGAAAGAGATGGCTTGGTTTTATTACATTTATTAAAACAGCATTTTAATGTATAGTCAGAGCTGGAAAAACGTTATTTTCACTATGTTGAAATCAGCTTTTTAATTCAATCCACTTTATTTATATATCACATTTCATGGAAAAGTGCTGCACAGAGATACAGTATAAGTAACGTATTTAAATATAAAGGTTTGCTTTATATGTATCAAAAATAAAACATGAAGTAAAACTTAAATAATTGTATACAAATAATAATAAACAACAATTAAACAATAAAATAAAAACAATAAAAACCATTTCAATTTGTTACTGACAATGGCAATAAAAAAAATTCTTATTTTGATGACCAAGTGTCCCTAACCCTTAGACCCTTTGCACACTGCACTGCCCTTGTATTGCATTGAACCCATCGTGTCTTTCCAGGTGTGAAGTTCATTCCTCTGGGCCACATGCTGACGTTCAAAATGTCGTACCAGATCGCAGCTGGACTGGCCTATCTGCACCGCAAGAACATTATTTTCTGTGACCTGAAGTCCGACAACATCCTGGTGTGGTCCCTGGAGGTGGGAGACCCTCTACTGAGCTCGCACTACTGCTTCACCGCTTTGATATTTATTATTGATGATAATTCTCAGGTGCAGGAGCCGGTGAACGTGAAGCTGTCCGATTACGGCATCTCGCGACATTCGTTCCGTGAGGGGGCCCTCGGCGTGGAAGGGACCCCCGGGTATCAGGCCCCAGAGATCCGCCCAGGCATCGTCTATGATGAGAAGGTGAACTCTGCGTATAGCTCAACATGTCAGCGTTCATACTATTTAAAAATTAGCACACTGCTACTGAGACCACGCCCCCTACTGGCCCTGTGCATGTCTCCCATCACATGTACAAATGATTTCAAGAAGACTGGACCACACTTTTGAGAACAAAGAACAGACTATCAAAGACACACATTTGAGCCTGTTGACAAAATAAAGTGTTTATGATATTATGGGGAATTGTAGCATGTTGAAAACCCTATTTGTGAGTCGAGAAATGTGTGTAATAATCAGCTGTCTGTGCATAGGTGGACATGTTCTCCTACGGCATGGTCCTGTACGAGCTTCTGTCTGGGCAAAGGCCCGCTCTGGGGAACCACCAGCTGCAGATCTCTAAGAAACTGTCCAAAGGCTGCCGCCCCGCCCTGGGACGAGCGGAGGAGGTGCAATTCTTCTGTCTGCAGAGCCTCCTGACACGTTGCTGGGACACCAAGCCAGAGAGGGTGAGTCACTTTGTATGTCTTGTTTGAAATGAATAAACTCATCTAAAATCTCACACACTCAGGGCTGCACATGTATCAGAGTGTGTTATGGCAAGATTAAAATCTGAATATCATTGCACCAAAATCCATTGGTAACATTCGGACAAAGGCTGAGGTGACTTTTTCATGACCTGAGCCTGAGACTGGCCAGAACCAAAACTCCCTTTTGGTTTGATTGAAATATATATTATGGCAGGAGTCAGCCAAGACAAATTTCCTCCTGGGAATAAGGAGTGAATCTTGAATCCTGAAACCTGTGGTGTGATTCTGTGCAGAGGCCCAGGGCGGCGCAGTGTGTGCAGGAGATGCGGGAGCCGTCCTTCCCCTGTCTGAAGTATGTGCTCTCCTGTGGGGCCCACTCACAGCTCTTCCTATCCCCTCTGCAGGGGCCCTCTGCTGTCTTCTGGGACGACCTCAAAGACAAACGGTGTGTGACACTTTCATCAAGTCAACTAAATAATGCTACCATAAAAAAGGTGAGGAGCGATAGGGTCTAACTAATTGAGTTTTCACTATTTCAGTAATACATGAATAAGACTCCACCACATGTAAAGTGCAGCGAGGTGTGATTTGAAAACTCAAGCAGCAAAATAATAAACTAAAACTGCGAGTTGGCAGCACTCCCGCTTCTCAGCAAGAAGGTCCTGGGTTAATCCCGGTCAGAACAGGACATTTTTGAGTGGAGTTTGCATGTTCGTCCTGTGTCTGCTCCGGTTTCCTCCGGGTGCTCCGGTTTCCCCAACTGCTAAAGACATGCAAAATAGATAAATCCTCCAGCTCGGGTCCTGACCAGGCCAAGCAACAACATCTGGAGATGGGTTCGTGGACGCTGAACTACGGCAACCGCACTGCTCCTGACAGACGCCCTGCTGGCATTTGCAGGATGGGTCAAATGCAGAGAACAAAAAAAAAATGCACATTGACTTTTACAACCCACCTGTTCAAAACTGCACTTACAGTTAACTTTTTATTGTAGCTTTTTATTTTGTCTCTTTTTCTTGTAAACTGTCTTTGAGTGTCCAAAAAAGCGCTTAATAAGTATGAAGATAATGATGATGAGGATATTATTATGGTGTTAATCAAAAAATCAGGCGTTTTGCTTCAGCCTTTTCCTTTTGAGCTTTGTTTCTTGAAATTATGTGTACCTTTAAAAATACATTGTAAAACTGGTCAAATAAATGACTTCTACTTCTATTGTCTTTAGGAACTACAGTGTGGTGAATGTGGACACAGGCCTGGTGGAAGTGAAGAGGATGCTGTGCCCTGGAGACGCCATCAGCTGTCTGCTCAAAGTGGGAAACACTTTGTGGATGGCCACCCAGGTACTATTTCAACCTCTCTTGTTTTTGTGAAGCACTCTGAGTTGCCCTATGTATGTATTGTGCTACACTGTAAAAAATACAACTCAAAATTGTTCACCTTACTAAGATGTTTGCATTCACTGACAATAAAATTGAAAATGAGATTAAGTGGCTTTATAAATAAACATGATGGTTTAATGTGGGGGCTAATTTAAACTCAAAATAGTAAGTTATTGTAGGGGATAGTAATCTGAACTTAAAAAGTAAGTTTTTACAGACTTAAAATTTCCAGTAACTTGAATTTAAAAACTTAGTTGGCAGAACTTGGAAAACTTAGCTGACACAACTTAACTCATTCACCGCCATCTAAATCGTTCACTGCCATAGACGTCAATCGCTTTTTTTTTCTTTTTTTTCTTTCTATGGCTCGTCAAGGCTCTTGTGCATCCTGTGTCAACATTTCAGACCTGTAAACACTTTGGAACCGATCCTGTAGGGGGCAGAGGTGACACTGTGGCCAGATCCAGGGAGGGAGAAGGGGGCATGTGGTGCTGTGAGCAGCAAACAGCCAGAGGAGCAGCCATGCTTACACAAAGGACCGCGGATCTGAGAAGCTCACGCAGCTAACGCTGTTTGAGAGCCTGTTCAGTCATCAAACGGATAAATATGAAGCAGCTAGATGCCACGATGCTAGTTCTTCAGGTTTTAGTTAACATGAGGCTCCAGGATCCTCGGAGGCTTCCCCCTCCCTCCTCGTCCAGCAGCAGCAGCAGCGGCTCCTCCCCCCGTCGTCATGTGGTAAGTTGCTTTTCACTTCAACATGTTGCATTTACAAGTTTATGTCTCCCCTTTGTCCAATGTAATAACAGCCCCTCCAGGATTTTGCGCGCAATTGTTGATTGATGAATGATTATTGCGGGGTAAAATGCTTGATTACGCGGGACATTTTTCTAAAAGTTTCCCTGTTGAGTTTGGAGGCGTGTGAATCTGGCATGCAGCATTAGCTGCTAGGGAGCTATGGATGATGATACCGTGCGGTTTATAGAAGGGACAGGGGGAGGTGATCCATGGCAGACCGGTGAGCGAGATCCATGATGAGCAACAAGTGTTAGATTTACCGCACCATGTGCATTCTGCTGTGGTGCGTCTCACTGTGGAGGGTGCGTCAGGAGCGCGCCCGCTGCTGCTTTGGAACAGGGAGAGAGACTGACTCTGTTGCTCTGATCCCAGAGTCTGCGTGATTTTGAGTTCAAACATTGAGAGATTCTGGAGGGAGTGACCATAGCAATCATTGGCTTATACTATAGTAAAAATAAACATAAAGTAACGTTTTTAGCGAATATTGAAGAGGGTTTTTTATCTCAATGTCATAGCTGCTGAAGCCAAAACACTTGTTATAATGTGAAAATGTATGGTGATTTTATATTTTTCTGTGTGTTGTAGATTGTTGACCCTAGGACCCCAAAATGCTGCAGCAGAGCTTGATTTGGATCAGCAGCTGACTTCTGCAGCTCTTCATAACTGATGAACTGCTGGATCCTGGATCTTGTTGTCAAACAGACAAAGCTGTATGCAGCACAATATTTCAGTGCACACACACAGCGTCTCCCATTCAGCAGAGAAAATGCATGGAAGCCAGTGACAGTCTAGCAGCTAAAAACTTTTTTGGTTTGACATTTCTCACTGGGTTTGTAAAAAAAAAACTAATCTGGAAATGTATTGGGAGTGCAGATGAAGTAGATTCCACCCCACACTTCAGCAGAGTGTGGGGTCACCTAATTACTATTCTTTATAAACTAAAGTAAAATTGTTTCACAAAGTGTTCAGAAAGTGTTATTTTTACTGTATATTTTTATACAAAGTGTTTTTATTGTATACAAGTTGAATATTTTATGTGTACATAAGACAATCCTTTGAGCGTATTGTGTGTACACGTTTAATTTGTTTAAAAATAATTATACATTAAAAATACAATTCAAAGTATTGTTTCTGTTTTGTGTCATAGTAAGAAACTGTCATACATTGTAAAATATCAGTAAAGACAAAAAAAAACACTTTTCTGCTTGAAAATGCGCGTTTCACAAAAAGGCTGTTTTCTCCAAATCTTGGTCAGGAAACAGCATTTTGTGTGAAAGTTACCTATGTTCTACTCTCAATTGCTAAAAAATTAAAAGGGTTAGAAACTTACTTTTTTTTTTTAATGAAACCCAAGGGATAGAGCTTTCATTTGGTATGTTTCATACTTGTGTCAACCAAGGGCTCACATTTCTATGCGGTTTGGAAAAACACTAAAAATGTCCAAAATCTCTGGCAGTATGAGGGATGCTGCTTTTTAAATGGCTGGCAGTGAATGAGTTAATAAGTGTAGTTCTTCAAAACGTGAAGAATTAAGTTAATGCCTTCAACTCAAAAATCCTTCGCAGCTGGTTGCTTTGAAATTTTGAGTTGAACTAACTTTTTCTTTTTTACAGTATATACAAATTAACTTGCCTCGTCTCCAGTGGGGTCCACACGTTCTGCAGTGCAGGGCAAGCTCAATAAAACAGATGGACAGTACATGGCTTTTGTATAGAGTATATGCATAACCTTTAAACTGGATTTTCTATCTATGAAGCTATCAACAAAAAATACTATGTATACACTCTCAAAAAACTAACACACTATCACTAGTAATTATTTAGTTCATAAATATATAATAATTCATTTTTGATTACCATTTACAGGGAGTTAAAATTACTTGACACAGACAGTAGTAGTAGTAGGAGTACACTGGAAACAATGATAAAATATGAGGTCAAAATTGCTTGAATCAAGTGTTTTTAATCTTAATCTGAGCTCATTCTCACTGTCTTCAAATAAGATTCACCAATTGGACAAAGCTATTTAGTCTTATTTCAAGAACTGTTATATTTTCTCATTCCAAGGGAGACCTTTCTTGTATCTTTTAAAAAAACAAGGTCATTTTGCTTTGTCCCATTGGCAAATGTTATTTTGAAGCAGTCAAAATGTGCTCAAATTAAGATAAATGTACTTATTTTTCATCACTTTTTTGTATGAGTAGTGTTCTTTCACAACACGCCTGAAGTGGTCTCTGTCACAGAAGTGTTTTAAATGGAATAAGAATGCCCTCATTCAGCCAATCAGCTCTCAGTGTGTAAAAGATCAAATGTGCTGATAAGACAGCATCTGATTTGTTCAAGCATTGTTCATTTATTTTTCAAGGCTCACAACATGTATTTATGAAACAACTCAAAAGTTAGGTGCACCAGCTTTAACTTGATTAAATTATAAAATATGTGGCAATAATTGCTTTAATCAAGTGTTTTTTAAAATCTTAATTACATTCTGACTGTCTTAAAACCAGATTCTCCAATGGGGCAAAGCTATTTTAGTCTTATTTCAAGGAGTGTTGCCTTAATTTCTTGTATCTTTTTTAAGCATCACAATTTTGCTTGTCCCATTGACAAATCTTGTTTCAAGGCAGTCAGAATGTGCTCAAATTAAGATTTTTTATTCATTTGTCATCACTTTGTTGGAAGTTGGTGCAAACTGGGATGTATTTCAATGTGGTTTTACTGCAAATTGCAGATATAATGATGTCGTAATGTAATTTGATGTGTGGCCAGGAACAGGAAGTGTTGATCTTCAGCCTGAAGGACATGTGTCCGCTGAGCCTTCCCCAGAAACACTTCTCGTCTCCGGCTGTCATCAGTTGCTTCCTCCATCTGCCGCCCACTCAGCAGGTTTGTGTCCGAACACGTCACATACACACGGACTGTCTGAGGAATCAAAATAAATATATACAGGATTTACAACTGCAATACTGAGCTTCTCCAGCAGAGAGTGGTGTTTCACAGAGGAGGTGTCGTATTTGTCACATAAACAAATAGTTCTGTACATTTTACAAAATTGAAATATGGGGTCATTTTATTGTAATTAATTTTGAGAAATATGTATTAGTTGGAGAAACACTGAGATTCCAGATATATACAAATTATTCATATATATGTAAAATAGTTAGTGAATTAGTCATTAAAAATTACTTGATACAGACATTAGTAGTTGTAGATCTTGGTAAATCAAGAACATATTTATTCATTTCTCCACATAATGCAAGTGTCATTTGGAGACTTTAAGGAAGAATCCAAAAAGCAAGAATGAGAGTTTAGCATTGTGTGTGCGCAGAGCCTGGGTCGTGTGGTGGCTGGGATGTCGGACGGCCTGGTGGCGGTCTACAGTCTCCTCAATGACCTCCCACTGGACGGAGAGACGTACCTGTGCTCCCACTCCATCAACAAGGCCCTGGGCGTGAGCGAGTCGGACCTGCGGCAGAAGGCCTACCCCGTGAGAGCCATGGTCCTGCTGGGATCGGACCGAGAGGTGAGACCACGCTGTTTTTGAAGTAAGAAACCGATACATTTTTCATATCTAATATCCCAATGTGCAATACAGAACCAGATGTGTCCACTGTAATGCATATATATTTTCTGCTAAGATTATCTCGGAGGACTTCAGATCAGAGAATCAAAACAGTTCAAACACAAGAAAGGCAATGATAGAAAACACATTTAGTCATTGGTCCTTAAGGGGAAGAGATCAATGTCCATAAATGTTGATAAATGTCTTTTAATTAGACCTCACAAGACTCTAACAGACCCTCCTGCATTGGAAAGGAACAACTCTATAATCCCCAGTGGGAAAACACACATTTGTAAAGATTTTTATCCTTGAATTCAGTGAGTCCAACAGAGACTGACCCTGTATAGACCAGTACCTGTGAGTCCAACAGAGACTGACCCTGTATAGACCAGTACCTGTGAGTCCAACAGAGACTGACCCTGTATAGACCAGTACCTGTGAGTCCAACAGAGACTGACCCTGTATAGACCAGTACCTGTGAGTCCAACAGAGACTGACCCTGTATAGACCAGTACCTGTGAGTCCAACAGAGACTGACCCTGTATAGACCAGTACCTGTGAGTCCAACAGAGACTGACCCTGTATAGACCAGTACCTGTGAGTCCAACAGAGACTGACCCTGTATAGACCAGTACCTGTGAGTCCAACAGAGACTGACCCTGTATAGACCAGTACCTGTGAGTTCAACAGAGACTGATCCTGTATAGACTAGTACCTGTGAGTCCAACAGAGACTGACCCTGTATAGACCAGTACCTGTGAGTCCAACAGAGACTGACCCTGTATAGACCAGTACCTGTGAGTTCAACAGAGACCAGTACCCTGTATAGACCAGTACCTGTGAGTCCAACAGAGACTGACCCTGTATAGACCAGTACCTGTGAGTTCAACAGAGACTGACCCTGTATAGACCAGTACCTGTGAGTTCAACAGAGACTGACCCTGTATAGACCAGTACCTGTGAGTTCAACAGAGACTGACCCTGTATAGACCATTTCCTGTGAGTTCAACAGAGACTGACCCTGTATAGACTAGTACCTGTGAGTCCAACAGAGACTGACCCTGTATATACCAGTACCTGTGAGTTCAACAGAGACTGGCCCTGTATAGACCAGTACCTGTGAGTCCAACAGAGACTGACCCTGTATAGACATCTTTAGCACACTGAAAAAAATGGACAAGAAAACAAAAGTACTATCACTTGCTCTACATACTGTATGTCAGCAGGTATGTCCAAACGAAGGCACGGGGGCCAATTGCAGCCCTTTGTGTCATGTCATGTGGCCCTCTGCCTTGCTAACCAAAATGTGCCATTAAGATCATAAACACGAGTTCAGAGTCATCCAACTTCAGCTTCACCACTACAGACATGCTCTGCCTCGTTGTAAAGCTCAAACTCTTTAGAACTCAGCCGTTAATTTTATTTGTATATAATTATATTTGTTTTTGACTTCCAAAATCTCAGATATCAATCAATCAATTAATCACTTTATTTATCCCCAAGGGGCAATTAAAAAGCACGGAGAGTTGCAAGTTACATTCTCAAAATCTCAATAAATACTACATGAATATGATATGGCGCTAATGTAGCTGTGGTGTGTTAGTAAGCTTGTAAAAGTCTGTCAAATGAGAATCTATTTAGACTTTCCTCATTCCTCATTTTAAAGCTCAGAACAGCCTGATCCAATCAAAGCTATTAGACTATATATGTTGTCGAACCCTGGACAAGTCTGGTCAGCTGCAGTGGCCCTATTACTATAAAGTGTGGGCACCCCTGCTGTATGTAAACCGCGTAGGTGTCTTGCTCATGGCCACCTCAGCGAGCAGAGGTCCACACTGACGGCACCCTCTTGTCCTCAGCTGTGGTACTCCAACGGGCCGGGCGTCCTGGTCGTCGACTGTCTCAGACTACAGCCAATCAGGAGACTGGAGCCCTACAGCCCGCCCTCCTCCGTCGTATCCATGGCGACCAGCTTCTGTCTGTGGGGACAGGAGGCCGTGTGGGTCCTGGACGACGTGACCAACACTGTGCTGCTGTACGACGCGGCATCGTACCAGCTCTGCGCCAAGTACTGGTGAGTCCAACACAGACTGACCCTGTATAGACCAGTACCTGTGAGTCCAACACAGACTGACCCTGTATAGACCAGTACCTGTGAGTCCAACAGAGACTGACCCTGTATAGACCAGTACCTGTGAGTCCAACACAGACTGACCCTGTATAGACTTGTACCTGTGAGTCCAACAGAGACTGACCCTGTATAGACCAGTACCTGTGAGGTCAACAGAGACTGACCCTGTATAGACCAGTACCTGTGAGTCCAACAGAGACTGACCCTGTATAGACCAGTACCTGTGAGTCCAACAGAGACTGACCCTGTATAGACTTGTACCTGTGAGTCCAACAGAGACTGACCCTGTATAGACCAGTACCTGTGAGTCCAACAGAGACTGACCCTGTATAGACTTGTACCTGTGAGTCCAACAGAGACTGACCCTGTATAGACTTGTACCTGTGAGTCCAACAGAGACTGACCCTGTATAGACCAGTACCTGTGAGTCCAACAGAGACTGACCCTGTATAGACCAGTACCTGTGAGTCCAACAGAGACTGACCCTGTATAGACTAGTACCTGTGAGTCCAACAGAGACTGATCCTGTATAGACTAGTACCTGTGAGTCCAACAGAGACTGATCCTGTATAGACTAGTACCTGTGAGTTCAACAGAGACTGGCCCTGTATAGACCAGTACCTGTGAGTTCAACAGAGACTGGCCCTGTATAGACTAGTACCTGTGAGTCCAACAGAGACTGATCCTGTATAGACTAGTACCTGTGAGTCCAACAGAGACTGATCCTGTATAGACTAGTACCTGTGAGTCCAACAGAGACTGATCCTGTATAGACTAGTACCTGTGAGTCCAACAGAGACTGACCCTGTATAGACTAGTACCTGTGAGTCCAACAGAGACTGATCCTGTATAGACTGTACATGTAAACTGGACTCACTGGGCTCTCCAAACAAGCAGTAAAACAGTCAAAAAATGACGACAGAGGCAGCAGCAGCAATCGCACCTGTAACCCGGTTTATTTCAGTGTTTTTCCAGATTAAATAAAAGACAAAGTTTACTTTAGGATTTGTATGAATGTGCATAAGAACAGAGACGTCATTACTTGAGATATGAATGACTCACCCTTAAGATATAGATTCTAGTAGCAATGTGGGTAGAACATATACATTAAGTTCTTCAGATGATAATGTTTAGTATAATACAGATAATAGAGGTACAAAACAAGCAGGTCAGATTCCACTGTCCAAAATGCTTCAACTTGAGTCCTGATTAGAACCAGGAAGGATGTGATCACATTAGTCCAGTTCTCAGGTCTCTTTTTTCAATACGTTATTTACTGATTGTGGATTTAAAATTAGAATCATCCTCTGTAGCAAAGTGACATCACTGTAGCTCAGGTGCAGCTGGTGCCTGAGCAGAGAAAGTTGTCGCCTGTTGTTACAGCCCGGCTTGGTGGCTGCAACAAAGGAAAAAGGGGGAACGACACCACAACCAGATTTTAAGCTTGTTGGCATTTATTAACAAAAGTCAGTGTAAGTGTAATATGAGTGGCTGCGTGTAATGCAAGTAATATCAGTAGGATAACCTTATGTGTAAATGAATCAAATCATACAAAAAACCGTATGGCGTTGGCCTGACACGTCTGTCCCTGAACCTGGTTGGGACCAGTGTGTCGAGGGCTGGAGGGAGAGAGAGAGGCCATCAGCACACCTGCTGCTTTTGGGTGGACCGCCAGCCAATCAGGGCGGAACTGAATTAGATGTGTTAGCTGAGGAGGGGAGAAGGCTTACGCCTGGGCGCGTAACACCTGTGTGTTCTTGTTTCTATGCTATTAAGTTTATAAGCGCAGTACTCAAACATGAAAGGCCACTGTTTACTACAGTCACAGCCACAGGTAACGATGAGCAGATCCCTCAGAGGCCGTTCACATGAGCACGCTGCGACAGTAAAACGATAGAGTTGGGTATCGGACACCAGCATTTCACACTCCTCTGCAAAAGTCTTATCAGGTAGATGCTCCAATTCAAAACGTACTAAAAAGGCATCATAAATCTAAAGAGAAGCTTCCTGTTACAACGGAGGAGCCATTACTGTGTGTGTTACCTACTTCAAAGTAAATATGTTGTTAGGGGCATGGGCCTGGTCCCACATCAAATAAAAATTTGATCTGTGGTGATAATCCAGGACACTCAACATTCAACAACATTTATGGATATTTTATGGACATTTATCAATATTGATAGACATTGATCTCTGCCCTTTATGGACCAATGGCTCTTTGTGTTTGAAATGTTTGATTCTCTGATCTGTGTTGGTGAATTCAACAGTTTTGTAAAGTCCTCTGAGATAACTACTGTTGGGATTTAGGGCTGGACAAGAATACATTTAATTGAATGTGTAATTTAAATGTACTTTATTTTCAGTTGTGGGGAAAGAAATCCGCTGCAAGATGTTTTCCCGGTTCAGCACCCCTCCTGTGTGGCCATCGCTGAGGCTGCTGAACACAGTGACCTCAGCGCTGAGAGGAGGCAGACTGTGGGGATGACGTACATGTGCAGCCCACACGCTGGAGCCCAGTACATCCAGGACTCAGTGACATCTGAAGCGTCTCTCATGGAAGAGGGGGACACTAAACAGGCCTGCAGCTCTCCGTCCAGCACAGAGGCCAGTCTGCGACACAGTCCTCACTTCTGCTCCCAGGACTCTGACAGCAGGTGTGAGGGGCAGCAGTGTGAGGACGCAGGCCTCAGCAGCTCTGAGCTCCAGGCTGTGGCTGTGCTGAGTGCGAGAGATACTCTGTGGATCCCGAGGTAACACACACACACACACACACACAAAGCTGCTGTTGCTGAGTGTTGTGTCTCTGCAGGTGTGGGGGGGATGTGCTGGTGCTCGAGCTTCAGCTGCAGAAGCAGTGCGGCTGTGTCACCGCTGTGCTGTGTCCACCAGGGGGAGCTGCTCTTGGGTAAGCAGTCTTTCTCTACATCCAGTGCCTTGACTTCTCTAATATCTTGCACCACTTTGATCTTGCGGATGCGATAACTACTTAACTTGTTGTACAGTAAAGTCTAAGCATCAGTCATGTGAGCTACTGATTACAGAGCAGCTCTGTCCTGGTTCTTCCTTTACGTCACAACTCTCAAAGACTTTTCATGTAACCTCTGGCCTGTAGCAGCCGGTCGTAAAGGGCCCAGAGTGGCTCCTAATGACAGGACAGTGTCACACTGCACCTGGACAGGTCGTCACTCATCACCATTCACATGTTTCAGGAGCTCGTGCACTATTTGAACAGTTTGACAAGTGTGTAGTAGTTGTGATGTAATATTAGTGTGATGCATGTGTCCCACAGGCGTCTGCAGCAGGCCTCGGTGCTGGACCAGGACACAGTGCTGTGTGCCCACAGAGATGGCTCTCACTGGACTCTGTGTGTGTGGAGGGCCTGGGGCCCTCAGCTGCAGCTCTTCTACAACGGCTGCAAGCAGCTTTTTGAGCTGGAGAGAAGTCTGAACTCTAAAGACCAGATAACAAGCTTTATGTGTACACCCAATCACACGAGCACTCAGGTTGACGCATGAAAATGTTCTGGTCTACTTTTTTTACTTGTAACTTTTCTGACTTAAATAAATCTGTAAATATGTCAATCTTGTCTACTAGCGGTTTTAACACACATTTGTAAAAATATATTTACAGCTAAAATGGCTTGTTGTTTGCCTTTAGTGTCGCACTGTTCTGCTGCTTCACCACAACACCTTTCTCTCATGAATCAGGAAAAATCCACAGTAAATGCGGCAATTTTGAGGATATAAACAAACGGCTGCACTGGGAAGGGAATGTATTCCAATGAAAGTGTCCCACGGCATATCCAGTGATAATTTTGGCCACTCTGGTTTTAGGGGAAGAAAAATACATTTTGGAAAAACACTTTTATTAAATTGTGAAAAGCAACAGTGATGTCATCTCCCTCCGACAGCTTTCCTCCCAAATGGAATACGTCTCCTGAAATAAGTTAGAAAATAAAACCATAGCAGAAATATGCATTTAAAAGTGTAAAAAACAAAAGGAATGGACAGCATGACAGATGATGTTTTGCGTCGGCATAGAAACCTCCTGGAGCCTGAGGTCACGCGGTGAAGCTCTCATGTTTGTAACAAAGTGTAGAGAAACAGTTTGACCGATATGAAGAGGACAAGCCCTTGTTCCGTGTAACAGCATCAACCACTCACTCTTTTTGGTCAAAATGGCATAAGATATAAAAGTCTGAACACTTTACATTTGTGGCACATGGGAACATTCCAGAAGACCAGTGTCCACTTACTGTACATATATCATCAGGACATCTCCACTCGGAGAATGTCGAGTAAATGCAGTCTGTACGCTCAGGAATTCTGTACGCTCAGGAATTCTCCCAGCGGGATTCCCCAGACTTCTTTGCTGGTTTGATCTTCTACATCGTTTAGGCCAATATTGCTTTTATTATATTAGATAAAAGTCATCTCCAGTGAAAATGCGGACCTAATACTCCCTGTGAATCATTCACATTGCCATAATTCTTAAATACAAAACTGGTACTATAAAAATACATTTTAAAAGCAAAAGTAAATAAATAGAACATGAAATGGAGTGGCACAGTTCAGGCTCGCACACTTTGACCACTGACAGGACAAAGGACCCTACGGCGTAAAGTATACGCTGTAAAAATAGACTCAGCGATGGCTCTTCAATCATGAAAGAACATTGTTTTTGTTTCCAAGTAACAGGCAGAACTAATGATAAAAGTGTGCAAAATGCAGCAGTCCTCTGAACTCGATGCTCTTAAAGTGGAAGAGTCCTGTGTCACTGTAACATACAAAAGGAACGTGGATCTGTGTGTTTAGACCCATGTCACTCTGCCTCACAGTCTCTGCTCCTGTGTTCTGCTGGAGGAGTTGCTGTATGTTCCCTGGTTCTTCTCCAGCCACAGCTCGGCCAGCTGCTGCGTGGAGCCGTGGGAGGAGGCGCGGGAGCCCAGACACATCTTGTACTGCTTCTGCTCCAGGTTGGGGTCGCACACCACAGGATGGTGCACGTGTACGATTCCCGTGTCCGTGCTTCGGAACAGCCGCACGCCCGACTGGATGAACTTATTGAAGAGGTCCACGTCCTCCAGGCCCCAGCCCTGGATGGAGGTGTCGAAGCCGCCCGCCGACACAAGGTCGCCCTTGTACACGCACACGATGCCGAAGCCGTAGGTCCTCCACAGACCAGTCTTTGACGTGAACACGTAGTGGTTGTTGCTGGGCACCTTTCCGATGTAGACCACTTTAGGGTCGTACTGGCTGAAGATGATGGGGAAGTAAGTCTGCTCCCCCAAAGCAGTGTTGTCACGGCAACGCTTCAGGAAGTCACTGTTGAAAAGCAGGTCCACGTCGCAGTAGAACAGTAGGGAGTCGTTGGAGAAGTGCGAGGAGCCCACCTCCAGAGCCAGCGCCCGGGAGAAGGGCCCCTCCACCGGCCGCACCTCCATGTCCGCACGCGGGTACTTCATGTGGTACTCCCTCATCAGCTCCACCTGCTTCACGCGCTCGGGGTTGTCAGTGTTAAAGAGCAGCACCAGCAGCTTCACGTTCTGCTTGGGGATGAGACACACGCGCTCAAAGTTGGCCATGAAGCGCACAAAGATGTCGTAGCGCCCGGACAGCGGCACCAGGATGTTCACCCTCTGGTCCTTGGGCTCCCGCTGGTCGTGGCTTGAGCTCGTCAGTTTGAAGGGAACCAGCATCTTCAGAGAGTTGGACAAGAAGGACAGAGAGTCGGACTCCTGGTTGATGTGGCTGGAGAGCGCGTGTGCGTCCATCTCCTCGTCTTCTCTGAACTGGATCTGGCTGAAGGTCTGCTGGAGGTAGGCGTGTCTCCTCACAGGTACCGTCATGGTCTTGCCCTTGTGCTTTTTGTAGAGCAGTAGAAGGTCCAGCACGTACTCTGCTCCGTACAGAGGGCTGACTCTCCTGTAGCCGTACTGGATCTCCTTGAAGTCAATCACACGGCCCCTGGCTTTAGCGTTGGCGTTGATCATCTCCATCACCTGCATGATGATGTCGTCCAGGGCCTGTCTCTGCGCCGAGTCCATGCCACGGCGAGGGGGCAGCCCGTTGGAGGCGGAGAACAGGTACTTCCCGGTCAGAAAGTCCCACTCCAGGACCTCGTCGCGCTGCTTTGGATGGAAGCGCATGAAGGAGGGGGGCATTCCCAGCTGCAGGTCCTCGCGGCCCGCCTCCCCGGCTCCGTAACGTCCCATTTGCACGATCTCGCGGTGCAGTTGGACAGTGCGGTGGCGGAGCGCGGCGATCTTGCGGCTGAGCATGTAGCTGTGCAGTCGGTACTGGTACGGAGGGTTCTTGTTGGGGTGCAGCGTGATGGCGCGGTGGATCTTGCTGTTGTGGAGGTCCCGGATGTAGCCCTTCTTGTTGGGCTCGTAGTTCTCGTAGAACAGCTGCTGCATCTACAGGAGCACACAGGACTTTCATTAGGCCCGGAACAAGAAACTATTTTCATTTTAAATTACATTATAAATCTACATATTTCATCCCCCGATAACAGGTCATGTACAGGTCACTTGAACAACAATTTAAGGTGGAGGTTGGGGCTGTTTGTCTGTTTTCAGATTTTAATTTTGATAATCAACTTTAGTTCTTATATTTTTATATATATTTTTGCAATATTCACACACTAAAAAATAGCATCACACGTGTTTCAGCAATGAAGATGTAAAAAAGTTGTCATCTGTAACAAAAAGAGTGTACTCTTTCTACCTAAACCCCAGCATGTGGATTGCATCAGTAGTCAGTACTCAGAAGCCTCACGGGTCACTGGCAGAAGTTTCTGGCAACAACAGTTGAATATTGTAATTGTAATGACTTTATGAGACCACTTTGAGTGCACATTACATACGGACCGTATTAGGGTTGAATTTAAAAGTGAGTAATGATAGCAACAAAAAACATTGGGTTCTTGTTGTAGAAAAGGAAAATCTGATTTGTCATGATTCAAGCTTCTCAGTCTAGTTAATTTCAATTACACGGACTACGATAACAATGTGTTTGGATGAAGAACAAAGAAAGAAATTTGATCCAGCGAGGAAAACAAGAGTCTCGTTTGTTTTGTGTTGCAGCTCGGCATTCTGGGACGTCTTATTTCCCCTTTTGTGACAATATCTTTTCCTCATAATTTTATATTTATGAATTGTGATATTCAACTGGTAGCATGACAGACGTTAAACTATAGATATATCTCCCTGGCGATTGATGTTTGTTGATTTTATTCCTTTTGTGAAAAATTGAGATAAATCCGAGACTCTGATTCTCTATTGTCATGTCCTTGACTCAAAGGCTTTGGAATATTGGTGTTAGTTACAAAAAATCCAATTGAGTTTCAGACATAAACCATAAAGACCATAAAGTCTCATTTAGAAGAAAGTGAGGGGAGACACAGGGCTTGAAGACAGTCAGGTGTGTTCATGCTGACAGCGTCTCCACTGTTTGGAGAAATGTCTCAATTGAAAGAAACAAAAAAATAAAACTATTAGGCTTCATTTACAATTAATCTTACAACCTGGGTACTGTAAGTCGTGACTTTTTTCAAGTTCATGAAACACCTATAGTTTATAGTGATGTGGCCAACGTATGTATTTTGATTGTACGTAAGTCATGTTTATTTATATAGCACATTCTACAGACCAAGGTCACCCAAAGTGCTCTATAACTGTGGTAGTGTGTCCCCAGAGGCGCAGGAGAACTGGGAGGGCGCACTATCAGCTAACACTAATAGTAATTAAACCTTACTCAAAAAAATGTTAGACACATATTTTCGTAAGTTTTAGTTTAATTTATAACATTTACAACAACCATTAGAACAAGTTTACTCCAATCAATTACTCCAAATCATCCATGAAAACCAAACATCTTCTGTTGTGGTGCAGATAAATGGTTTCATGTGGGCGGCACGGTGGCTGAGTGGATAGCACTCTCGCCTCTCAGCAAGAAGGTCCTGGGTTCAAATCCCGGTTGGACCAGGGCCTTTCTGAGTGGAGTTTGCATGTTCTCCCCGTGTCTGCGTAGGTTTCCTCCGGGTACTCCGGTTTCCCCTACCACTAAAAATATGTACAATAGGTCTGGCATGTGCCTCCTGTACTGGCACCCCCACTCCCAAAAATAACAATTGTAAACCGCTTTGAGACTCCGATGTGCAGTGAAAAGGCGGTATATAAATAAAGATTACTTACTTACTAAAGATTACTTATGTGAAGGTGTCTGGGTTGTGTACTTGGTAGTTACAGGATACACTCCTGGTGGAATCCTAAAACATTCTTGAGCCTTCAGGTGCTGTTCAGTTTCATTGGGTAGAACCACTTTGGACCAACAACAATATTGTACCAGTCTTTATAGTCCTGATAGACACCATTGTTGATGTATTTGTCTCTCATTTTCTAGCTGTCGTGTGGACGGTGCTGTTGCTCATGGTTCAGCCAAACTTTTCTTGCCCAGACACATTTCAGAAAGTGATTGCTCTGGGAAGTGTAGGATTCAAATTTTGTGGTTACACAATTGTATTAGGCAATATTGGATTGACAAAGAGTAATGTGAGTAATCATGGATCATTCCAGGTTTATGTGTTTCGTTCACTTCTAAAGGTTACTAACGTTGAACAATTAACCTGGACAGTTTTAGACAAAATAAGAAAAGCTTGAAACCCGTTAAAAGAGTAACCACCACACCACACCTTCATTTAGTTTGTTTAAATGCACCATGAGACGATCTGTTCTGAGAGATAACTGTGGTACATTATGACGACTGAACATCAAACACTCTTGAGAAGGAGTTTTTTTTTTTTTTTTCCCTTTCACGTGTTTGTGTTTACTTGGAACAGGATGGTTGTGTTTACAGTCTCCTCTGCAGCTGGATGCAGATACACACAGATTAGCTTTGGTAAATGACACATGAGAACAGGCCTGAGAAATACACTATATACACACTATATCAACATTAGGAAGAAAAAACCTCCAACAGGGCATTATCTTTGCAGTACTTTGAAGATACATTGCAAATTACAACTTTTGTTTACATTTCATATTTTTAGATCCCTTGAAAAATATGTAGTATATGTAAATAACTCCCTTCAAAGCAAATAGATCTGATTTTGTAGAGAATAAATCTATAGAACAGACTGTGAAGGTCGGAGGCTTCAATGCGCCGCAGTGTTCGCTCTTGGTGTGTGTGTATATAAAGTGCATTTCACAGACAGATTACTTCAAATGATAGAAAATACTGTCAGGCATTAAAATATTAGTAAAGATGTAGAAAAATATAGTGCTCTGAGAAAAGATACTACTAAATGAAAACTAGTATAGTGCTTTTTTTTCAATACATAGATTATTAAAATTCTATTCTATGTAAGTCACATTTTCAACAGAAACATGGGGCTGAGAAGTTGTTTTTGTTACAATGTATTTTCTCAATCAATGAAAATGAAAAGATTTTTTCTTTGTTCCTCTCTGCTCCTTTACAAATCATGGAAATTTATCCTGCAAATGTATAATGTATGTTATGTGTATTATATATGAAGCTGTTAAGTGCAACAACATTTTCATGAAAGTCATAAATAAAAATGAAATAAAAATAAATGTATTTTTGGTTTAACAAAAAATATTGGAGAGGAGCATAAGAGGTATGAAGACGAACGCCTTTATTTTATATCAAATTGGAAATATATTGTATCAAGTTTGTGATGGCCCCAGTCTTGTGTTGTGTGCTGCTGCTGGCCCTCTCCTCCTTCCACACACCAGCCAATCTGAGAGCTGACTTGGCCTTGCCGCACCTGGAGATGGGTGGGGCTGACCCCATTCAAAAAGGCTGTCAGGAAGCCAAAGGATGCCTCTCCCCTTGCTGTAGCAGCCTTGTACAGTTTTAAATATGTGTGGACTTTTATGTCCGAAGCCCGAGCCAGTTTATGACAAATTTAAAATGCCTTGAGTGTTTTAAGGTACGTATTCTTTGAGCAAACTCTAAAGACACTCAGCCCTAATAAGCGCTATTACGCTTCAACTAAAAGTATTCCCTCAGCGTTGCCTCTGCAGGTGACTCCTGAGAGCATTCCTGACCCTCTAAGTGGGATATGGCTGTGTCTCACGAGCTCCAGCCTCCGTCATAGCAGCAGTAGCAGCAGCAGCAGCAGCAGGTCTGTGCATGTGAGCCTCAGCCACAGGTCAGACTGGGCCATCTCCGCTCTCACACAAAAGGAACGCTGTACCTAAGAGCTGCAGCTGCATCATGGAGAGAGAGCGGAGAGAGCAAACAAACAAACCTTGACCGACAATCATGGTCAAACATTCCACTATATGGTTACGCTTTCTTATCAATCCAAAATGTAGGACTGCTTAGTTCTGCTCAATAATCTAATTTTCTACAATGTGACTTTGGGTTGGTTCTCCTCCAGTTCTGACCTGTTGCTTGTCTCCAATGCAGATCAATAAGATACTGTGGACAATGGACCTCAAGACAAATGGTCAAATAATAGCTGATTTTGGGCTGAACCTTTTTTTTTTTTGGCAGAGCCTTTTAGCAAGTAAGTAATCTTTATTTATATAGAACATTTTTACGGACCAAGGTCACACAAGGCACTTTACAATTGTTGACAGTTCAGATAGTTTTTAAATTCTGTCCACAGTGATGACGGAAGTGAGACGCCCCAAACACCACCATCCATTCACTCACTCCACTCAGACCTATTGTACATGTTTTTAGTGGTAAGAAACTGGAGCATCTGGAGACCTATGCAGACACAGGGAGAACATGCAAACTCCACACAGAAAGGACTGGAGGTGGAATCGAACCCAGGACCTTCATGCTATGAAACACCAGCTCTAACCGCTGCCCCACTGTGTCGTCCACCAACGTTTCCTTCGTTTGTTAAGTATTTTTTCTACAGCATTTTAAAAATAGCATTGTACCTGACAAGGTAAATCAAATAGAAGACGGTCAAAGTTCTTAAAAAGGTGAATTTGGAAGAATGGGACTTTACTGCCGAGTAGTGAGACCTGGGTGAAGAATTCTCCACAAAAACATCAGAGGGCTTAGTCTCTAATCTGCTCTAATGAGATAGAGGCGGCTTAAGCATTCACACTGATGTCTGTCGTCACCGCTGCTCTGAGGGGCTCCGAGCCTCCAACTGCGGTCGGCAGGGGCCCCTCAAGTCAACCACACAACACAAAAGCGACTAAAATAACGGTGGAAATAAAATGGTGGAATCCATGATGAGATGTGTCCTGTTTTAGGCTGTGGGTGTAACACTGGGCTGTCAGAGGCTGTGGCTGCGGGGCCTGAAATAGCAGCTCCCCACCCTCACACGCACGGACAGCGATGGCTCCTGGTGCGAGAGGAGTCAAAGCATTTTCTTATTCAAAAGGACCTTACAGTTGGAAATTCAGAATTCTGCACAAGTGACCACAGAAGTATGTCGCAGAAACGCTGAACACCCAATTCTGAGCGGGTTTACGAGATGTTTTCTCAACAAACACATCTGCTTTTAGATCCAGCTCTGGAATACAAGGCGTTTGTTGTGTCTTTGGGCAAGACACTTCTTGAGCCTAACAAGTGTGTATTAGGTGTGTATACACAACAATTAGAATAGGGGGATCAGAACTTAGTCATACAGTCATCATGAATATGTAGCAGATTCTGATTATGGTCCAATGGCAAAAAGTACGCCTTTCTAGCTACGGATGCACCAATCCAGCTTTTTAAAGTCCGATACTTATCTGATACTTTAGCTTTAATAACTACCAATATCATACCAGTGTTTTTCAACCAGTGTGCCTGATGTACCTTAGGAAATTATCCAATATCACCTACTTGGTCAAAACATTGTGAGATAATAAAAAAAAAAAAATTTGATTTTCTATATTACTGTATACACTTTGATGAGAATGACTTTGTTTTGTTAGTAAGGTTGCAGATTTAAAGTTGAATGTTCAGTTGAATGTTGGTGGTGTGCCATGTGATGTGCCCCAGCTCAAAAAGGTTAGGGAACACTGCCCTGGTTACATCCTTCGTAACAACCATGTGAATGATTTGTGGAGGTCAGCAGGGAGGGCTTGTTACCACTGAATATTTTTGAAGGCACAAAAAAAAAAAGACACGTAATGACAGTTTGCACAACTCCTGAACGTATTTCAAGAAAGAGATGCCAAAATATGAATCAACCTGCGACTGTTGAGTAAAGTTCAAACCAATAATCCATGTGTGTTCCTTTGCCTTATAATTTAATTCAATTTAATAATAAAGGTAAAGGCGCACTTTATTGATCCCTGTAGGGAAATTCATCCTCTGCATTTGACCCATCCTGATGCCGCTAAGGCTTACATCAGGAGCAGTGGTTGCCGTAGTACAGTGCCCGGGAACCCATCTCCAAATGTTGGTGGACGATTTAACCTAGTAAGCCTAAGATATATTGGAAAATTGAGATCAAACTACAAACTGACTGTATCAAAATCCATCTAACTCGTTACATGCAAAACAGTTTGGTTCTCAGTTTTCACTAGTTTTCACACTATTTTTTTTTTTTACCTCAGTCACATCTTAAGTTCAGATTTTTCAGACAGAAAAGTGATAAAGAGAGGACCAGCCCTCACTGAGTCAGCTCAAAGTGTCAGATAGAAACTCACAGGGCTTGCTCTTATGTAAAAGAGAAAAGTGGTTTCTAATTTGATAGTTACAGGGTATTGTGGTCTGATTAATTCACAAATGTATACTTTATTGGTTAGCTTTTTTGTTGGGACAAAGAACATGAATTATTTTCATGGTTTTCAACTAGGTTACAAAGCAATCAAACTTTAAATGATGGACTGTAAGCATTTATGTTTTCCTTCCCACCCCCACATTGAGAGTTGCGGATGTTCATGTTAAGTTGTGTTTATCCATGCACAAACATGGCACAGTGAGAACACCATGATGCAAGTGTTCATGTTGATGTTCACGGCAGAACGTATGCACTTGTTTGCTTTCGTGATGGAGAAAAGATCGATGCCAAAAACTCGGGAATTGAAAACAATGTGACGATTCCATAGTAATGTGATAGTTTGGCCACGTTTCAAAATTATTGCGATTCTGAACATATTGCAAGTCGATTCAAAGTGAAAGATAATCATTTAATTAAATATGGCAATAATTTACCGTATCAATTTAATTAAGTGCACAAAATATCGTGATACAGAATCGACTTTTTCCCATTACTAAAACCCTGTGTGTTTGTTGAGCACAAATGTCCACGCCACATAATTGAAAAAAAACATTGTCGGCCCAGACTAATCTGCAAACAGAACAACAACAGACCACACAGGCGCTCACCTCATAGGACCAGACGCACTGCACCCCTGCGAAGCGGCGCACGCACCTCCCGACCTCCACGTCCTCGTGCGTGGTGTACATTTCCTGCAGACACTCGCGGATGTGGGGCACCATCCTGCGCAGCACCTCTCTGCTCATGATCACCCCAGGGCCCCCCATGCAGAAGTTCTCCCCGGGCTCCAGGGCCAGTTTCCCCAGCTCGTCGCGGGCGCCCATCCCCGTCTGGCCCAAGAAGATGGCCTCGCTGCTGTTGAGGCTGCGCAGGAAGCTCTCCAGGCGCTCGCTCTTGATGTAGACGTCGTCGTCGGCGCGCATGAACCACTCGTACTGGTCCAGGTAGTGGTCGTGCATGTACTTGAGCATCATGAAGGACTTCTTCTGCGGTGGGTACGAGTCATCCACGCTCTTCAGGGCCACGATGGGGATGGGGATGGAGGTGTCCGAGCCCTCGCTGGAGAAGAACTCTACGCGGCCCGGCACGGTCTGAGCCCATGTCCTGCAGGCAGAGTGTTCAAGGTGATCCAAAGGCAGATAGGCAAAAGCTTCTATTGACATTACCAGTAACTTAATCAAATGTATTCTTGTCCCTAAACTACAACTGTAGTTATCTCAGAGGACTTTATAAAACCATTGTTTCTCCAACACAGACCAGAGAATCAAACAGCTCAAGAAATGCAATGACTAAAAAAACACAAAGAGCCATTGGTCCAAAAGAGGCAGAGACCAATGTCCATAAATGTGGCTGAATTCAGAGTCTCCTGGATCATCACCACTGTCCTTATTAGTCTCCACTGCATCAGCAAGGAAAAACCTGTTAGACTACACAACAAAACCTCTCTAACCTGGTCTCACCTCAAACCCCACTTTAGAATAGCTTTCTCCGTTTAATAGCATCATCAATTTTAGTTCAATGTCATTGATTATGGGTTGTATTGTTGCTTGTGTTGATATAGTAAAGAGGCCACGGGTGTTTACAAAGGAGCTTATAAACACAAATGTCTCTTGCCAAATTGGTGAGAAAAGGCTAATGGGCCAAACATAGACATTTTGTGGATAGATTTTCATGAGTTTTCATGAATATACTTGGATAACACTTAGAGAAGGGGAATACAGTGAGGACAATATTTCATATCACTTCACCTCATTATGCTTAAAAAGCTTGAATGCCTCACTTTCAATCCAGTAACTAGATCCATCCAAACTAGTTCCTCGTTTAACAGGTTGGTTCTATCACTAGTTTTGACATGCATGTATTTTTGGCCTCTGTCACATCTTTAGATCAGCTTTTTCAGTGCCAAAGAAAAGACCCTCACCTAGCCATCAGTCCAAATGTCTAATAGTGACTCACAGGGTTCTGTCTTACAAGTATGCAAACAATAACACAAGTTCTAATAAGATGAAGACAGCATTTACAATACTTATTTTTGGAAAAAAAATTTGATGTTTGTATCATAAAGTTGTTATCTCCAGCTTTATTGACAACAGTACAACAAAACAAATCATGACGAGACAAATAGACAGGAAATAAGCGTCTCCATCCTCCAACCCCTTTTCAAATTGTGTATTTGGGTTTATGTTGTTCCTGTTTGTTTTATGTGGAACGTACAGAGACAGAGATAATATGAATAATCTTTAGAAGGAGAGTTAAGTGGGAGTTTGAAATGTGACACGTGCAGAGACGGTCGCTGGCGGCGGAGGAGATAAGATAATGAGGGCTCTGGGTTATTTTAGTTAAATTGTGGAGTGTAGACAGGTGACCAGATGTCTCACTTCAGTTTGTGCTTCCAGCTTGATCTGAACAATAAACACTACTGACTACATGTCACTCACCTCTAGCAATATCCATGTGCATTAATATGTCCACGGTGTACTTTCAATCCTTTATACTTAACCTAAGACTGTTTAGGCATCAGTAGATTTAAAATGTTCACTTTTAATAATTGAAAAGCTGTTTATCTAGTTTGAAAATGCAGTTCCTATATTCACAACTATTCTTTGAACTACACTGACGTTTCCCCACTGTGTAATAAGGTACAATGTATGCCTTATATAATATGGTAATAACATATTTGAGAACAGCTGCGTCCCTTCTCTTGTTCTCACATATTTATGTTGTTAGCTTGTTTGCTTATCGTTTGTATCAGGAGGTCTCGTAATTTCAATGTTACTTTCAATATGTATTTGTTTATTTTGTTGTTATAGTGACACATCTACTTATAACTAATACATAAAACACATTCTGCTTTAACATGGCTTTATCTAGCTTGTTTTAGGACTACAAGTAACAAAAGTTTCAATTTCAAATAAAATGAATGTGAACCTTTATTCATGCCGTAGATAGTGAGGAAATGTCGGTGTTGTGGTAGTGCAATAGTCCTGATGTTGTAATGTGTGTCACACCCTTTATAACAGCAGGACTATTGCACTCAGAACAATGCGAAAGCTGTAACAGAAAGACTTTAAACCAAAGCCTTTGTGCTTAAAATATTTAAGCTAAAATATACATATACTATACCTACACAAATCAATTTATGTATCCTATACTAGTACATTATGAAAGAATGGTAAACACTTTACTCCAGAGGGTCCAAATTAAACACTGAAATATAGACTGAGAACCACTATCTAAATAAAAATTTAGATATTGTGCAAATTGTTCAAAATAGTAAAAATTGTCCAAGGTTAGAAAGCCCGTTATACAGTCACAGATGTGTATTATTGACGTCGTTCTGAAGGTAAAAACTACCTTCTAACAAACTTTTGATTACATATTGCTAATTTGAGTCACTACTCTTTATAGACAGCACACCATACTTAGTAGGCCTCACCTGTTGCTGACATAGTATTTTAAGTGTTTTTAACTCTAAAAACCAGCCCTATGTGTGTGGGCTAAAGCCATGTACCTATGCGCTGCCACTGCCCGGGTGTTGAGGTACTTCTGCGCGGTCATCACCCCCACGAACAGGAAGCTGCTGGAGCGGGTCAGGGGTTTCTCTGTGGCCGCCGAGCTGTTCTCCTCGGTGGGCCACAGCATGCCTCCGTAGCCCTCTCTGGAGCCCCGGTTGAGTGCACACCCAGCGGTCGCAGCTCGGCGTTTGTGTCCCCCCTTCTTTAGCTCCGTGGCCCGGGGTAAGATGAGTCTGGAGGCCAATGTGAAACCCACCACCAGCCCGAGCAGGACGCTGAACCAGGCTCTCCGTCCTCGACCGGCCATCGCGTTCAAATTGATAAAACTAATAATAAAAGTTATAAAGTCAAATGTAAAAGGTGTAAACAGCGAGGCGGGTGTGGTGGTCAGCTAGTACCGGGGACCGAAGTCGCTTTCTCCAGTTGCCCACGTAGCATCACAGCTCACCGGTCAAAGCCCCAGTCTCTACGGACGCCTGTCGTACTGGTTAGCCAATTCATTACGTTTTCTTACCGGGAGAAAATAACATACGCTTGAACAAAGGCGGTCGTGTGGTTTGTAAAAAGGCAGATATGTAAAAAGGTATCCCCGCTGTCCTCCGTGGCACACAGGCTTGTCTTGTGGTTTGAGCCAATGCGCTTTCCGTAGTGATGCACAAGCCAGCTGCTCTTTGCTGTGGTGTGTTCAAGTACAGGCAGACGAAGGAAAACTAGTGAAACATATGGACATTTAAAATAAGTCATTCTCGGCTCATCTGGCTCTAATCGCGAACTAAAATAAAATTATGGCCGTAAGTCTGTGTGTGTACGAAACATAAAGCGCATTTAATTTTGTTCTTGTTTTTTTTTAATTTTCCAATCGTGATTTCACCGCTGTAGTTGCGTTCACGTGACCGCGCTGCTGGTGGTGGATCTGCATTCCGATACTGCTTTGTGGTTAGGAAATCCATTGGGGGGTGTATTTGAGTCGTGGATAGTTTTGAGTGTATCCAAAAGCGTCCTAATCTAGTGATATAATATACCGGGGAGAAATCCTACATATATAATTTCTCAAAAGTTAACATTACTGTGGAAGATACATTATCTTGTATGGCTGCATCTGAGTTCATACAAGGTATCTCTTATAATTCCTTGCCCTTTTAATTAGAGCCCAGGAAAGGATAATGATGGTCTTTTTGCTGAATTTGTCTGCAGCCATGGTGAGCCTGGCCAACATGCCAGTAACTGCAGCGGTGATGGTGATAGAGGGTTTGAAGAGCTCTATGAGACCTGAATATTTTAACATGGAGAAAGTGCCATTGTCTTGTAATACACAAATAAATCATCTTTTTTACAGTACATTGAAAACCATCTTTAAGTGTGCATCTAGTTAAATTATAATAATGATTAACTAAATGAATATGTCACATCATTTGCCAGCATTACATAGTACATGAGAATTAAAAAAAAAGACCAGTTCCTCTTTCATCATAATACATACAATTTATTTATCTCTATTTTCCTAAAACAACCTGATTGATAAGCTGAATTTACTACTACAAAACAAGCAGTTTCAACTTTCTTACCAGAGCATGGGAAGTTTCTCAAAGGACACCAGAATGATTATATTGATCGTGTTCATTGTTTAAACAATCAGATAATAAAGTATAATTCTCTAAAATAACTATCGCAACATCAGTAACTTGAGTAGATGTGCTTTGCTTCTCCACACTGACATCTCATCCAGGTCCAGCAGAGAACTCCATTTACAGACCTGAATTCATTAAAAGACTGCTGTGCCAACACAAGATTAAATAATGTGCAATAAAATAAGATGAAGCGTTCTGAGTGACATCAAAAGAAGGATTGAGGAAAGCAAAGGTCCAGGTATTGGTGCACAGCGCCTCCTGTCGGTGTGAAGAGCCGGGTGTCGCTGTCAGAGCAGTGGAGCTCTGACACACTTTAGTTTCACCCTCCTGCGGAAGGGCCTCTCCGGCCAGGCCTCCAGGCACAAGCCCCACCCCCGTCTCCACTTAGAGGGTTGTAGTCTGTGGTAAAACAAACATGTTCTTACAGTTAGTTCTCACATGTGCGGATTGTAGAGGAAGTTCCTGGGTTCAATTCTGTCTTATTAGGGTTGGTAAGACACCTCATCAGCGTCTGTTCTTTCTGCGGAAACATAGAGAATTTACCACAAACTAAAATGTTGATAAACTGTTAACGCTGCACCATTGAAAGTTTGCTTGTTCTGTGACTGAGTGGATCAGTGACATCCAACAGCCAAAGAATGGAGAGCTCTAAACAAAGTGCTCTGCTCTGAAATAGGATTTTTTTTAATGTAAGGACAGTGTTGATGACCCAGAACATTCGACAACATTCATGAACATTTATGGTAAGTGGTTTTCTGCCCCTTATGGACCAATACACTGTAAAATCTGTGTTTTATTTATCATTGCATTTCTTCTGTTTGATTCTCTGATCTGTGTTGGCAAATCAACAATTGTGTAAAGTCCTCAGAGATAACTATTGTTGTGATTAAGGGCTATAAAAGAATACATTAAATTTAATTAATTCCAGCATATTTCTATTGAAACAGTTAGCAAACAAGTAGATTAACGCGGTGCTAATTCAAATCAATGAAGTTAAGCGAGCAAGGATTTTGAATTTCACCAACCTGGGCTGCGAAGAGGTTTTTTATCTGTTTTCCTTTTAACAACTGTTGTAGACAAATCTTCCTCTGTGCTCTGTAAAATAAAGAAAACAATATTAGTTTATGTGATTAGAAATGCTTAGTAAGAAAAGAATGCATGTTTGTGACCTGGGATGCGTTTCCTTTGCAGCTCTTTCCCTGCTTCATGCTCTCCCAGACCTCGATCTTCTGCCTCCTCTTCTCTTCCTCCTGCTGCTCACGCAACGAAGTGGCAAAAGTTAGTTAGTTACTAAGCCATTTAATTTGTACTAGTAACTATAACAATAATTAACCATCTACTGAACACAGGCTTGGTCTTTGGCATTGATATATTTCAGGCATGTCAAACTCTACTGTCTATGGTCAAACTCCAGCTCAAAAAATGACCAATTTCAGCTGCAAAAAATCTTCATCACAATAACAAGTAGTACCCAAACTAAACATTTTACACAATAACGTCTTGTTCTTCATTGTTAAAAGCAAAAGGTCACTGGTTACAACCTGAATACAATCCAACAGTTTAACAATGATGTTTGTGCTTGAACTAAAATCCACAATAACTTTCAAATTGTGATCATATAAAATACTTTATGGCATTGAACGGATTGATCAACCTTTAATACTTTTTAATACCACGTCCTGAATCGCCATCTATTCACCTGCTTCTGCTTCTCTTTGAAGATGGCCGCTTTAGCATCCAGCTCCTCCTGCATCCTCATCCGAGCCGCCTCCAGAGCCTCTTGTCGTTTGGCCACGAGCAGAGCATCTGGCAAACACAAGTAAAACCGTCACCGTGTGTGGGACAGAACACAGGGCCACAGTGAGATTCAGAGGTCGTACCCTGGTGAGAAAGCTGCGGTGCACTGCGGGTCCCGTCTTCTGATTGGCTCTTTTTGACAATGTACTGAATGAGCAGGTAGAACAGCGCTGTAGCAGCCAGCAGGTACCATCCATACAGGGACAGGACCTCTTGCACTGCAAAGGGGAACCGTTTTGTGGATTAAAAAGACGTATTTATGTATCGCACTTAATTTTTCATAAATTCATATACAGGCACACATATGCAAGCACCCACACACACATACACACACAATCTGAAAGTAGCATTTGAAGTAGCACTGGTTTTAAATTTGTATTACAATATGTATTTTGATCACATATTTATGTTTACTATTGCTTTTTTTTGTCTGCCATACTAAAAATAAATAAAAAGACATGTTGTAAGGATGTGCCGGTTTCCCATTCCTCACCTTTAGCTATAACAAATGTCTGATATTTTACTGACTGGTGTGGTCTAAATGTGCCAATATCCATAGTTAAATGTAGGGGTGCGATTTCTCCTGCGATTCGATTATCGATATGCATTTGCCAAGTATCAATATCGATTTTGAAAAAAAAAAAAAAATATATATATATATATATATATTTTTTTTTTTTTTTTACTTTTTTTTTTTTTTTAAATGGTATCAATACTTAATATATGGCTACATTACGCATGTCCATTCCATTTATCATGAAATAAAGAGTATTTTTTCTTATATTTATGCCATAAATTGGCATATTGTATATTTCTGACCAATATATCAATAATCGTCATATCGTGATAAAATCGTTATCGTAATATCGTTATCGTGATATTATCGTTATTGTGAGCTTTGTATCGTGTATCGTATCGTATCGTGAGGTACCCTTAGGTTCCCACCCCTAGTTAAATGTGCAATCAATATTCTAACATAAGTTCACAAATAAATAATTATTCAAAGAACTAGAAATTTTACTATGGCCATTGTGAGGTACTGCTTACAATACACAAAAGTTCTACAAAACACCAAAAATATCCACACAATAAATTAATAAGAAAAAATATATAACATATTAATGATTCCCATTATAAAAGATAGGGAAAAGAACAACTTCTAGTACTACAAATACTACAAAAGATGGTAGAAGTACCAAAAGTAATGATTCACACCATTATGAAATGGTGAAAAGTGAAAAGTGAAATAACTGCGGAAAATAACTGCTGGTTGAGTTGAAACCAAAATAAATAAATATAAATCAAGATACTATAAGACTTAGAGGGATAAAAAGCTTTCAATAAAAATTAAAAAATAAATATATGCAGTAACTCACTTACTCAGGTTTGGGTACAGACTAAACAGCTGGATTTCCCAACAGAAACATGCATCCAAAAGGGTAGACATTCTGCTTTCTGATTGGATAATCTACTTGTGGAATGCAAAAACAACACTATCTATCTAGAGCCTACCCAGAGACACCAGTTACACCAAAACAACAAATTGTTCCCACTTATAATTAGAGTAAATTAGTCACCAGAGGCCAAGACTACATGACCTAAGCTTTGTACCAAGAGCCTTCTAAAAGGGATTCGGTTAAACATTTTACAGATCTATTTCTGTCATTTCAGAAGAGTGGTCAGACTGGAATCCGATGAGCTCCTATTTGGTTAGACTGAAAACCTGCAGCCACATCAGCCCTTTGAGGACTGATTGGAAGACCACTGTTCTGGGGGAAAACAGCAAGAAGGGATATGGGGTCGCGGTTTTTCATTTTTTATTAGTATCTATCAATACTTAATATATGGCTACGATACACATTTCCATTCCATTTATCATGAAATAGTGTATTTTTTCCACTTATTTTTCTTTTATCTATGCCATAAATTATCGTAGGTATATTTCTGGCCAATATATCGATAATCGGTATCGTGATCTTTTTATTGCGTATCGTGAGGTACCCTGAGGTTCCCACCCCTAGATGTAATAGTCTACGACCACAACCAGGATGTGAAATTACACATTTAACGCAAGAGAAAAGTAAAACAGGGATAGGCCTAAAATTCTTTATTAACTGTTTGTGAAACGTCTGTCATCTGCAATTAACTGCGGCTGCAGCTGTAAAGTTCCAAACTATCGTTGTGACCTTGGGCAAGACACTTCACCCACATTGCCTAGAATGAGTCTGGTGTGTGTGAATAGTTGGTGGTAGAGGGGCCGATAGCACATACTGGTTGCCTTCTGTCAGTGTGCCCCAGGGCAGCTGTGGCTACAATATTAGTTTATCACCACCGTGTGAGCAGTGAAAGAATTATGACATGTGAAACGTATTTGAGTGTCCAAAAAAGCACTATATAAAACCTTTTTTTTTTTTTTTTACATGTGCATTAAACTAACCATACCTTTATTACCAATGTTAACCCTAACGATTTTAAGTGACTGTGAATAACGAGCACAAAGTAGAGATGACATCAACTCCAATACTATTAGTTCAGTTCTCCAGGTTATTAGCTGTGCGTTGTTTAACTAGCTACATGACCATGCTAAAGTGCTAACCTAACGCTAGCTTGTGCCGCTGACGTGTCGTACCTGTGGCCGAGAGCTCGCCCAGGTCCTGGTTCCGCAGAGGTCTGTGGTTCTGCTCCACCGGCGGCAGCTCGGCGGGCTCGTCCATCTCCGCGGGGAAAGGACCAGTTTGCGGTTCGCTCCACGGGTTAGGGTCTGACTGCTGGTACCACCGTACTGCACAAGTTTCAGTTTGTTTACGGATGACGTGTGCAAGTCCAACTCCGTCCTGTGAGAGCGCCCCCGTGCGTCTTGGAGTGTGAGGCAGTGGCATATCTTGGCATGGATCTATTACATTATTATTATACAGAATCAGAATGTAACATGGTGAGATGTGGCAAGATAAGCAGTATTTATAATCATTGTACTTCATCATTTTCAGCATCAGTTCTTCCTCACATCTTTTTACTTTTCCACTTGTCAACCAAAAACTCAAAACTACCCTTTTCATCCGTCAAAAATTAGTGCATGCACATAAAACAGGTTTGAAGTGGTTTGTCATGGTTCTAAGTGAACATTTGATATGTTAAGTGCTTCAAAGGCAATGCTTAACGTCTCAAAAATATTGTCCATAAGACACTATTTTTCCACTTACTACATAACTATACATTGATACTTTTATATTTCCCTGTTATCTGTTCCTTTTATCAGAATACAATTTTAGAGTATATCTATAATTTTACTCAAGATATGCAACATGAGGCAAGATTTTATTTTACTGTAGTGACACAGCAGCTGTATGAGTGGTATGTGTGGTACCTTAACATTTCATCATAGTGGTCTCTGGGATCCTATAGGATCAATAGTTTTAAAAAGGTATAAGACTTAATACATTTTCCAACTATGAAAGTGTTTCCTCCTTAGTAGTTTGTTCATTTAATTTACATTTCAACAAACCAAAACAATTGATAAAAAACCCACCTATGTCACATCTCATCTTATTTATAGAGTGCGATCAAGTGGGTGAATTGTAATTTGAAATCCACATCCAAAAGCTAAACAATAAACATTGTAAAAGACCATCCTAAGTTTATGTTCGTATTTCCTGTACAGGTAGGTTCTGATCACATAATGTATTTCCAATAAAATTCATTTTCTAAGATTATGTGTGAAAATCTTGCTGCCCTTCCAGGCCCTTTTTCCAGTTAATACGGCCGCTACAAAAACAGTACATCAAAAGATGATTAGAACTAAAATTAGAATATTTTCAGCACTAAGAGCAATAGTAAAACAGGTCATAATGACAAAAACAAATTGATCTTCAGACCATAGGTACAGTTTGTAAAAAATTTAATCAATTTAATTTTACAAAATAAAATCAGGATAAACATAAAAACTAAACAAAAACGCCATCGGAAAGTCCTTTATGAGCCGTTCATGTGAGGCTCCTGTTCCATTTCTTCTTCATCGTCATTGTCCTGATGTACGTCTGAATGTCCCGCAGTCTGCTCCTCCTCCTCTTCCTCTTCTTCCTCCTCCTCCATCTCTTCTCCTGCAGAGCACAAGGGGGAATCAAAACATGCCACTGGAGGCACAAGTCTTTCTGCTTGTAATGACAGAAGTATAGGCTTGCTCTGGCACCTCCCAGTTTTCCTCAACAGTGGAATCTCATTTTAGCAAAGTTGGGAAATAACTAAAATGCTCAAAAAAACTATACACAGGAAACCAGTTTTCAGTAACTATTTAAAGCCAGGTTATTTTGGTGCTGATCATACAATATTGTGGTCCAAAGTAAAATAAAAGATCTAATTACTGTGGATTTTAATTAATTTAATTGTTGCAGTTTAGTCCCACTTATTTTTGGAAAATGTTAAAACTTTGAAATATTATGATGACGATCACAGTGAGGACTAGTCAATATTTGTTAGACAGATTAGTTCTGAGAATGAACAAATTAGCTTGGTTGGGTGGGATGGATAAAGCCTTTTTAATTTGGTGTGTTACGTGTTTGCTTTTTGTTTTCTTTACATGAAATAAAGAAAATTTGAAATAAAGTCATATTTTGGACATCTAAAATGTTTAGTGTGCAATGCTTTCTCATTATTTTTTGCGTGATAAACAGTTGTGTGTAAACGAGTACAAAAGAACGCGTTCATTGAGCACGCTCATTTTTTCATGAACTGAAAGCAACACATTTTTTAATAAAGAACTTGAACGTGAGTTAGTTCACATTATGTGTCATGAACGGCAGACATCACTGTAAAAGAACGTTGGAATTTGTTTTCCATTGAAAAGTGACATCCGTTTTCTCTTTTGAAACGCAACGAGAGAAAGTTCCTCCCTTCTGTATTCTTTGCACTTTTTCCGCCGAAAACTAAAAATTCCCACGGTTTCCACCGTCTGTGCACGCACCCCGACTTGCGGTGCGGCACTGTATGCTAGTGCTTGTCATGGGTTGTTGGACTCACATGGGCCCGAGTCGTGGCGAAAACAAAGGGTGAGTTTGCAACACAGGGCCAACCGTTTACATTTGACATAAAGTATAGACACACACACTGCAGCACATTACTGTTTGTAGTACTTATGAGCAGAGATGAGACAACTTAGTTTTGGTCCCATTGAAACCCATGTAAATCTTATCTGTTTTGGATTCAAAAGGCTCTCATCCTGTGCGGTGTACAGGAGATATATAGATATATCTGTATATAGTAATTTCTAGCTCGTAGTGTGAAAAAAGTATTTATTTGAATATCTCACAAAAAAAGTAAAATGAACTGAACTTTGAACTAGTTAAGAATTAAAATAGTGAACTTTGAACATGAACTGTTCACTTTGAGCATGTGTGAACTGAACTTGAACTAGTTCAGAAAAGCTGTGAACTGGCACAACACTGGTGATAAACTCTTTGTATTATTTTGTAAATATGACTACTGCTGACTTCCTTACACATGTATTACTCTCTTCCTTGTCTTTGCATGGCCGCGTAGGGTGTGTGTGTTGTGGCGACATGTTTCTCCCTTCGCTCAAGGATATTCTGTGAAAGCAGTGGTTCCGATGGACAAATGTTTTTAACTGTCATAAATCAACTGTTCAGCTTAAGCAGGGAGCTCAGTGGGTCAGCGTACATGGCTGTCTCCAGAGTCATGAGGAAAGCTGAAGCTGGGTCTCTGGCATTTCAGCACATGCGAGTACTTGCCTTGTCGAAACTCTCGTCCAGGGATCTGTCCAGCTTGTAGCATCCCCTTTAACCTTTCCACTTCAGCTAATGATGAGGCATTTGCTATGGCTTTCTGAAATTACAATTCATACATAGAAAATTAAGAACTTTGCTTTTTGGTATAAAGACCATGACAGTTCTTGTTTGTGCACGGACCTTGATGGCCTCTACATCTGCCTGCGATGGTCCCGTCCGTTTCTTGTCCTGCTGTGCCCCCACACCTGGAGTGAACCTGTTCGGTACATATCAAAGACATAAATTGTAGAAAATGCCAATGGGATATGAACATATCTTCCACAATTTGGTTTGAGCCCAGACAACAGTGTACATAAAGCATTTTGTATTTTATAACTACATAAGAACACACAAAATACACTCACGTTTTGGTCTTCTTTCCAATGTCTTTAGCCAGCTGCGCCCCTCGTTTGCCTTTAAACATTTTTTCCGCCTCTTGTCGCTCCTGTGATGAGAGAAAGGGTGAAAGTTTGACTGACACCTAATGAGGTAGTGGTCATTTTTTTGTTATGCGTGGTGCACAACAATCAACGGTTTACATTTACAAACATTCACGATCTCTCCTCCTTCTATCCCCCACCTTTGTCTGTCACCCGGCACAGGATCTTTGCCTTGCATTTGGGACTTTCTGTATTCATTCGGGACTTTCTGTATTCATTCATTCTCATCCCCTTTATTATTAAATTTCTTAGTCTTGCTGCCACCCAATTCTTGATCTCAGCATTTCATCAGGGGCTTCAGGCAAAGTTTAATCCATTTCTGGGTCAGGGGGGTGGCAATCAGAGATGCCACCCAAGTCTCATAGCACCAGCCCCTCACTGACCCTCTGCAGGTGGTGAGTCCACAGGAGGACGGCTGCTCTCTGAGTGTGAGCATAGCCTTGATCTTTCAGTGGGGGCTTTTTCGGGCAAAGTGGGGTTAAGTGTCTTGCCCAAGGACACAACGACAGCAGTCATCAGTGGGAGTCGGTGGAGAACCCACGACCTTCTGGCCTTAAGGCCAATGCTCTACCAACTGAGCTACTGTCGCCCGCAGTTATGTGTACCGTACATATGAAAACCTACGGCTTGCCTTCAACTGAGTTTATAATTATGCAAGTTTATTTTAAAATGTTAGTGATGCTGCAAATAAACAGGTGGGCTCAAACCCCCGGAGAAGCACAATACCTTGAGTTTGACTTTCTGGAAGTCCAGTACTCTGATCTGTGGCAGTTTGTTGATAACGTAAAGCCGGTAGTGCTTCTTGTTGGTCACTGGGTTCCTCAACAAGCTGTGAGAATGAGATTCACATTTAGACTTTGAACACTTATGCCAAGTGTTATGATTATGATTTACCTGAGGAGAGAGAGCGTCTTTATTGTGGCCAGTGGATCTAAATCTCCCTGAAAACAAAAGACAACTTTTAGACCAGACAAGAAGAACAAGGATATTGTGAGTGAATAAAACACTTTTATAGAATATATTGCAATGTATAGGGATGTAATGCAGAAACGTGTGGCATCCAGTTGAATAAAGACTATTTTCAGGGAAAAGTTCAAATGAACATGCCTTTAGACATGACCAGGTTAGTTTTCACAGATGCGCGTCTTGCTTATAACTTCATGAGATAATTCAGCCATTACATTCAGTAAAGGGTGTACTAAAAATAATTTTGAAAATCTTTTGTGCGAAATTCAAGATACATATTGTATCTGCTCTACAAAGACCCAGCCGAGTTTCACATTTATGTATTAAGAGGAATAGGCCCTGGGGATGGACCATGCGCTGTGAGGGATTACAGGATCACTCACACAAAAACTGGTCATGAAAACAAGCTTTTTTAAATTTAAGGGAATGCCATATGCAGAGTGCGGGGGATAAAAGGACAGAACATTTTTTTAATTCATACAAAATCAGGAGGATCAGTGAGGGGCTGGTGCTATGTGTACTGGGTGGCATCCGTGGCCACCCCCCCAGCCCAGAAATGGATTAAGGGGTAGACAATGTATGTATGTAATTTGGAACCTAAAAGGACAGTTTCAGCAGCAGAGACCGAACTCACCAGCTCCTGTATGTTGTTATTTGTCAAAACCAACTCCCTCAGAGCGGGCAGGGACTGCTCCAGGTTCTCCCCTAAACGGCTGAACACATGAACAACTTTAGACTTTTGGAAAGATCACATCATTACTGTGTGCATGCAACACAAATGAGGATATAAATAAAAGCAAAGATAAACAGTACTCATACAGCAGTTAAATCCCCGACGGGGGACGGAGGACGTACCAGATGCGGTTGTTGTTGAGCAGCAGGGACTTGAGGCGTCTGAGCAGAGGAAAGCCGTCCACCTTTCTGACCTCATTATCGGAAAAGTCAATGGTGTCAAATTGGTCGAGAGTGGCCCCCAGGTTCTCCAGTACTGGGATTTTATAACCTGCAGAGAAAAAAAAGGTACAATTTGGAATATATCATTGTTTTAACATCTTAACATCCGCCTCATTTTGGCTCGTGCACAATGGTTGGGCATACCCAAATGTCTTTGCTTATTTAAAAACACATCTTACATCTCACATGCTTGTGTGATGCATCATTTTAAAGCTAGAGCCTTCTAGTTTATGTAAAAAAACACTAAAATAATGTTTGTCATCCCTATTTTCCTCTGCATCCTTTGAAGTTAGGGAAAAAAAAACAATTTTTTTAGCCTCGCCTAACATTTTCAATTTCTAAAGGCCCTAAAAAAGGCATACTTCATTGTAAGTTCACAATATTCAAACCCTCTGTTCATTGTGTTGTTGACAACAACTGTCTAAAGTTTCAGACTTCTAAGTTTTATAGTTTTTATGCAGTTTCTCCTTTTCATCAAGTAGTGCACATTTGGCACAATTTGGCACAAGTGTGCCAAATTGTGCCAAATATCTTTACTTACATTTAATCATCATAAAAACTATATTTTTTATTATTGGTACTTATAAGTTACTAATCTATGTGTGTTTTTCTTTTTTAAATGTCAAAGTTATTTTTTTATGTGTAAATTCATTGCAGCTTCGAGAGCGTCTTTTGGCTTCCATTACGCACAATTGTCCAGGCCCAACATAAGACATGACACCATTGTCCCACCCCTTGTTCGAAAGCTTTCCTCATTGGCTACAAGGACATGTCAATCGTAAATCCCGGAAGTAAAAGCAAACAAGTTGGGACCCCACAAAAGATCGGTGTTCAATGCGCAAACAGCAGCGCAAGCTGTACTTACGGGACCTCTTGCAGACCCAAAAATTGGTCTAGCTTTTCGGGAGTAGTCTCATTTGAAAGATAAGGAGCTAAGGAACACTTGGATACCAGATGTTTGGGTGAAAAACAAAGCTAAAAGTCCGTTAAAAGTGAAAGAGTAACATCTGTGCTCTTTTTTGTCGTTTTTTTCGCTAAAGATAAATGCACATTTTTGGATTATTTCTGCAGAATGGATTTTACTTTGGGAAATACAAGTGGATATAATTTTCCTTTGGACTGTTCCAGAGAGAATGATGTATTGCAAGCTGGGAGGAGAGCTGATTTATTTGTACAGCACAAGCCCAAAGGTAAAAAACTATTTCGGAATTGATTTATTTTGTGCCCACATTATGTGTTATATCTTTTGAATGCAAAGTCTGATGTGGTTTATATAAGGTTTATAAAGTCTGATGTGGTTTGTATATAAATGTAGATAAGAAAATAAGCTTTAAAATGATATACAGCTTTTGGGGTTTGGTGTTCAAAATACATCTGCTATTGCCAGCAGAACATTTAAAAACATAAAAACAGCCGCCGGCGCGCCGGTGTTAGTAAAGAGGTTAATTGTTATTGCAATTGTAATTTTCACTAATTGAGAAAACTGGGGTGTGTGGCGGGTGCATTTGAGATTATTAGAGTTGCAGAACCTTCCGTTAGTTGTCAACGAGATTTAAGTACACGAGCAATTATCAAAAGAGGCTTTATATCAGTATAGCCACCAGTGTTTGGATTTTTTATTGTGCAACAATGGTCCTTATTATTTAAAATCATAATAATGCATGACAACTTCTTTGCACGAGCAGTGTACTATCATATCGATGCAGAGAAAAAGAATCCTTAAGTGACTCAAACACTGAATGAATCAACTGACTTCATTATTGGCCAGAGTGAAAGCCTTGGAAGATCTACTGATACGGCACATCATGTGATGAGTCTCAAAAGTTATTGCTGAAGGTAATAACATCCAACATTTGTCTGATATAGAAAGAAAAAAAGTCTAATTCACCTCAAAGCCAATATGAACATTAATCTCTATTGAGTTTGGTTACGTTAAATTGTTTTATTTTAATATCAGGTATCTGCTTTAGTCTTGCGCTAATGACGTTCTGTTCTATCATGTAACATGACGATACCATAAATCCCCACGATAATGACAAATACTGTATAGCTCAAAAGCAAATAAGATTAAGTACTACAAGATATTGTAGGGAAAATGTATTGTCCCTCCTTTTGGTTTCACTCATTATACAGTTGCTGCATTGCCTTGTTGATTCCTTGAATAGAATCTTGTGATGAACCATTAGTTCAATATATATCTTGGAAGACATTGAAAGTGACATGTAAGATTATTGTAAAAGCCTCTACATGCTTTCTTTTACAGCTTGTTATTTTAACATATGTTGTGTCTTTTTCAATGTCTTTTCCAGGGTCACTTCACCGAATTGTAAAAAACATAGAATTCAAAAGGAGAGAAAACTGCATGTGTAGAGTCAATGGAAATATACGTTTCAAATTAAAACAGGGGTATCAAACGTTTTTGTTCTCTCAAACACACGTAGTTAATCTCAACAGAAATAAAGGTAAAATCAAATGTTAAATAAGCACACAATCATCTTATTACACATTTGATCTGTTTCATTATGGTAAAAAGCAACGGGTCCATGCTTTAGGCTAGGGCTGGTAAGGGTAATTCACTCTTATACACGTGTCTGTCAGATATAAGCTGGTCTTATATGCGACAGAGAGGAAAATACATGTGAAAACTAAAGACAAGAGCGGGGAACTAGTTAGTATTGCACAGATGCACGACTGAGGTTTTCAAAACTCGGTGCCTCAGCATCAGGAGCCACATTTAGGCTAATGCTACAAGAATCTACCAAATCAAACATAGTTTGAAAGTGAAATAATTTAAGGCCTTGAATGTGGCTGTATCAAATGTTCTACTTTTTCAAAGATACACCAAGCATTCCATCTATGCCAGAGACTGATGAATGATCCATGCTCCGTGTTAGCTTGTATGCTAACCGCGCACAGCCGTACCACGCAGGTCCAGCTCCCGGTCCCGCACGGGGTTGGTGAACTGGGCCGCCTGCTCGATCAGCTCCGCCGTCAGCTTCACCATGATGACTGCACACCGCCAACAGGCCGCGGTCCCGCTTCAAAACACAAACAAAGCGCAACACGAGAGCACGGCTTCAGCGATTCATTCACGTTTCACTCCGGAAGCACAGTGCGAGCTCTGAGTGAGCGGAAAGAGTGGTGTGCGACAGCGCCCCCGGTCGGTGTGCGCCACAACTGCAATGCATTTGCGCTTTTTTCTGTAGAGATTTGTCAGACTACAGACGAACTTAAATCATTATAATAGATCCAGGACTTAAATAGACTATAATTTACCATATGAGGATAATAATAATTGATATTAATGAATCGGTTTTATATAGCGCTTTTCAGGACACTCAAATAATTAATGAGTATAAAATAGTTTGAACAATGTAGTTCGGTCTCTGCATGTTTGACACATAGACTGTTTGACACCCTTGTTTTAGTCTTTTAGATTGTTTCCCCCAAAAAACATATTTTTGAGGGTATATCACAATGCATACAATGTTGTCACATAAATGATAAAAGTGTCCCTCTTTACTTCCCGCTGAAAGCTCCTTACACCTGAGAACTCAGCTATAGACGGATGGACAAAAACGTGTAGCCATTCTTAGGCTAAGACGGGTTTTAATTGTTGTGCTATATATAGTAGGTACCAATCTTGCTATGTTTTTGAAAAGTTTATCTGATTTATATTTTATTTAACCAAGTTTTTCTGTCTTGCTCTGTATGCGGCTAACTCATTGCTAGCTAACTGTCTTTGAAGAATGGACATAGCTCACAAATGTCCACCACAAGTTCATTATAAATCCGCAAAGTTCTTCCCCGTCCAGAATTTATTGAGCATATCAATGAATTAACAATTACACTGTTGGTTTTCAACATTATACACATGATATAATCAATTCCACAACCGGTCCATGTACATGCTCTGTCCAGCTGCAGATGAAGGAGATGCGTTGGGGAAATCGTTATAATAAATAACGCTTTTATTACTGTTATCTCGTAATATTTCAAGATTCAAGACTAATTTAATAATATGTCGAGATTTTTCTCATAATAAATATTTCAACTTTAAAGTCAAAATATTGATTTTGAAAGTCCGTGAACATTACACCTACAGGT